GGTTGGGGGGGGGGGGGGGAACCCAACGACACTGTAGTCTCCGTGTTAGACACGGTAGATGGAGAAGGGGTAGTGGTTTTTTTTCGGAATCTGTCCGGGGCAAAACAAAACAAAAGAAGCGAAAGCGGGTCAGACAACAACTACCTTCCTCTCGCCGGTACATAGAGAGGCATATTAGCTACCGGTCGGAGCGAGACGGACCTGTGGAGGTGTTTTCCTGGAGAATAGGCCGCGATTCAAGCCAACGCGAAGAGGCCAAACGACAACGACTACGACAACACTGCCAACGGGGAGGACGACCCCCCCCCCAAATCCACAACAACAAATGCCACGCAAGCGATACCAAAACCTGTTTTTCGCGGACGAGGTGAAACCGTCGAGACAGGGGAGAGGGGCGAGATGATAGCAATAGCAATGGTTGATACAACTCACCGGGTTCCAGACGGCCGCTACCTTTCCCTCCTTGTCCACCAAGACGGTGCTGCGCTGGATCTTGTCGCCCGCCTTAGACGCCCCGTAGGACTTGATCAGGGACCTGCCACGAAACGACACAGCCAGACAAAACAACAAGCGTGTCTTCGATTCAAGCAAAACTAGAAAAGTTTGCGGTTTTGTATCTCTCGGAAAGGGTTCAGTAGAGAGATTTTATCTCTCGGCGTTGCGCACGATCGAACGAGTCTTGGCTCCCTCTCCAGGGGCCTCGACTATTGCGCCGCCCGCTGGCCCTGAGCGTCCATCTTTTTTCGATGGTCAGCCGGTTCTGTTGCGGTCGGTGCTTCGTTCGTACCATAATACGCAAACAAACCCCCCCGCCAAACTCAAAAAACAACTATATCTACCCGTCAGTGTCGGCGGACGATGCTTAATTCATCCATGCCACACACAACCAACTCAAAACAACCGCAAGCACACCCACTGTAACGCCTACCTGTAGGTGTCGGCGAGCAGTCTGAAGTTGAGGCCGTACTTGGCGACGAACTTGCCGTGGCTGACCTCGTGGTCCGCGCTGACGCCCAGCACCTCGCAGTCCAGGCGGTCGTACTCGTCCTTCAAGTCGCGGAATCTGCGTCGCCCCCCCCCCGCACACACAAAATCACAGCCTTTTAGAAGCATGTTGTGTTTTCAACCGTGGGGTTGTTATGCAGTGTTACGTAAATTGTTGTGTAAGGATCCAAAGGTGAGGTGAGGTTCTTAACCCATTTTTTTTTTTTGAAAATGTGACCTGCCTCTGTTTCTTCACAAAATGTTTCTCAACCGCGGACTCGTACTGCTTGTGCGACCGTTGGATAGATATATAATGTCTCTTCCCCGTGCCCATTGTATGCGACGACAACAGCAACAGCAACAACAATGATAATAACAACAACAACAACAACAACAACAGCAGCAGCAGCAGCAGCAGCAGCAGCGACCAGCGACGACGACTACACCACACAAGACGAGCGAATGCTGCCCTCGAATCATCTCTCTCTCTCTCACTTGCAAGCCTCCTTCGTGCAGCCGGGCTGTCACCGTTCACCACCATGAAAACGTCGGTACCCCGTCCATGAAAACGGACAACAGCACACGAACATGTGACACGATCATGTCGAGAAACGCGGTAGGACGGGGACCATGACATCGGTGTAAGCAGCCGTTAAACTCCAGAGAGCACAAGGGTGAGAGCGCGCGCACCGAGAGAGGGACAGCATATCGGAAAAGAAGAGCGGGTAGATAGGACGAATAGATCGGTGTTTCATACGGCAACGACAACCACCACCACCACCGCAGCAATAACAACAACAACAACAACAACAACAACAACAACAACAACAACAAGTCTGCAGCGAGCTTGACGACCCCACGAAGGCATCCATCTTTCTATCTATCTAGAGGTTCGTTGTTCCTTACGGCGGCTGGCTGGTCCCGGGCTGTCCATTTCGAAGGATGCCGCCTTCTCGACAAAACGGAGGAGGGAGCCACAAAACGCATCCACCAGTTACTACGCGTTCGATACCTCGCAGAGCACTACTGCTGTACGAGGCCAACCTATCTACCATCTATCTATCTCACAGTATTGTCCTTGGGGTAGAAGAACACGACCACGTTCTTTTCCCCCCTGAAGGATTCGAGGGTGACCTCCGCGCCGTCCTGGTCATTCACCGCGAAGGGGGGAGCTTCGGTGCCGACCTGCGCGCAACAAACAGCAACAACAAAAAAAACGCCCTTGAATCAAGAACACTATGCATATGATCACGCCTGACAAAAAGCAGGCACGACCAAAACTGTAGTCCCCCGTCCCCCCCCCCGGCCGAAAAAAAAAAAAAAAACGTACCTGGTGTCATGAATTTTGCACAATACCGCTTCACCGCCACGCCGACCTCTCTATACTCTGTTGCTGGCATGCGAAGTTTCGAATGTACAGCATTGGTAGAGTTCCTCCGTTTGTATCTTAAAAATATTTTTTCCACATATATATGTACGTCCACAAACCTACAAACAAAAAATATCCGAAAGCAAAACACACCCAACCTCAATTTTTTTCGTGCGCTGCTCGTGCGCTGCTCCACCCCATAATTCTCCCACGAAACAACAACAACAGGACAAAAGCCAAAGAGAACCCAACAAGGGGCCAACCAGGTTCACTGCATCCCCTACAGTCAGTATCTACCTCGAGGGGACCACCCTTCTTCTTGGCGGCAGGCTTTGCGGCAGGCTTGGCGGCAGCCGCGGGCTTTGCGGCGGTTTTCTTGACCTTGGGAGCGGTGGCACGCGCGGTGGTGGCGGCGGCGGCAGCCGCCGCGGCCTTGGTGGAGGTTTTCGCCTTCTTCGAAGCGGCGGCCGTCGACTTCTTCGACGCTGCCGCCTGTTTGTTGTTGTTATTGTTGTAGGGGTGTGATGAGATTGTGCAGCACGTGGGTGTGTTACCAGGCGGCGCAATTAGGGAGAGGGGTATATACAGACAAGGGTGAGACGGGCAGTCAGTCGTGGTTTTGAGCGGAGGGCTGTTTGTGCGCGCAAACGGGGATCGCGACGAGACGAATGAACACAGACGAACATCTCGGCAGACACGTGCCGCTACACCCACCGCCCGAGAGAGCGCGGTGGCTGGCGCACGACCTCAACGTTGTTGGTCGCCAATGTACTGCCATTGCTGCTGCTGCTGCTGCTCTTTGCCGTTGCTGCATGCGGCTGCGGCTGTTCATGCTGATGATGGAATGCATGAAGGATTTTTGTCGAAGCCTACGTGCACAGTTGGTCTTTGTACGTAGGCACGGCTACAATTATTCGAAACTCTGTTACTAACTGCTGTATCGTGCACACGCGCCGACGCCGCCGCCACGACTACCGTATGTTGCATAAGATACCACACCCCCTGAAGCGCTTTTCAAAGCTTCATTACTCCACGACGAAGAGGATGCTGAAATCAAAGGATGCGTTGTCGGAAAAGCTCTCGACGAGACGGTTCCAACGCCTGCCGCCATTTTCGGCGCCGTCACTGCTTTTCCTGTCGAGTAATCGAGCTTTGAAAATCGGGCCAGGGGGTGTGATATCTTACGCAACCTACGGTACCGTGAGAGGATGAGAGCTAGCACACGCCCCCAAAGACCGATTTTCAATTATCGATTGCTCCACAGCCAAGCTTGTGCCAATACCAACAACGGTGGTTTTGGAAACATCTCGTCGAGGAATTTCCGTAGACGAATCGGGCTCCGCACCCACTTGGTTGTGGACCAATCGAACTTTGAAAGTCGCTCTAGGGGGGGTGTCATCTCTCCGCCTCTTACGGCAACCAACTGGGGAGCGTGTTCTCTTCAGTACACCGCCCTGCTGTCACCTCGCACGGTGTCAGTTTCTGCCAGCCCTTCAACAACTGTAAACTACACTCTCTGGGTGTTGGGGGTCATCCGCCCCTTGCTCCTTCACACAGGTTTGATAAAAGTAACTTTTGGGGGCTCTGCAGCTCGTAATATAGTGTTGCGTGCCGCCACGTAAACTGGTTCCATCTGATTGGTTCCCAATACCGAGTGGCCCTCGTGCGAAAATATCTCCTCCGCAGTTACAATTGTCTCCCATTAACACGCTGCCGTCGACGATTTTCCAAGAAGGGCGTCACAGGGCGCGCTTGGTGTGTCCCGTCACACTTTTCTTGTTGTTTTCACATTGAAAAACCGTTCCGTTCTCTCTTGTACCCAGTGCACATAAAGACACGACAAACATGTGGTGCTGTCGTCGTGCATGGTGGTGGTTACTCGAGCAGCAACGGGTCTCGATTGTACACGCACCACGCACACAAATTGCCGCTGGCACTTGGAGGCGAGGCCCAAAATGGTCGCCATCTTCATGTGGCAACTCCTTCGTCGTTACACGCCTGTGTACCCGAATGGCCGAATGGGCCGAATGTACGTGGTTGTTGGAATTGTGCCGACGGCTCTGGCGGGCGAATACGCCCCAACGATAAGCAAGCACACACCACCGTCTGTGTTGATTGACGCCACACGTGGGAACAAGGCAAGTTGGATTGGACACCTGGATACAAAAGAGAGAGCATCTACATCAGCAGTACCTACAGCCACAGCCCGCAGACTCTCACATATCTCGTTTATAACACAGATGGCACGTGCATGTTTTTCCGTGGAGGTTTGTGTCCCGGACAGAGAGGGATATGGGGCTAAACGATCAGAACGGTGGATCCCTCACCGCTTTGGACGCCACCGTGGCGGCGGCGGTTCTCGCGCGCTTCGGACGCTGGTTCGACTCCATGTGCAGCAATGTGCTGGCTCTCTCTTCCCCTCTCTCTGAGTGCTGCTGAGTAGGCGCGAGGTGCGGCCTCCGATGTGGGCAGGGTTCAGGAGGCGTTCTTCTACGATGGCAGTTACACGTTGTTTATCTATTTTCTTCCCGGATCGCTTGTACCCGACGACCATCTGCTATCATACCGTCCGCCATACAATATACTGGAGTATAGAGTTCGCAGAGCGTACAAACAAAGGAAATAGTTGGTGCTCAAGGTTGAAACGGGCACGGCCGATAAGTCAAGTAAGTGTATATACGCCGACCGAAAGGCCTCTGTAAACCGGCGCCAGAATAGATGGGACGAACGAGCACACAGAGTCAATCGGCCGTGTTTACCCTACGCAGGGAGTCACGATCGAACTGACTGCGACACAAACAGGCAACTGCGGTATGGGTGCATTGTCCCCATGCAACGAACGTTGAGCCGGGGCCCACTCCCTCGTCTGCGCGAAAGCAGGGGCATCAATATTCCTGTACAACAGGACGGTTGCGATATAGTGAAGACAATACGCGAGTGCCACATGCCAGTCACCGTTGAGGATTCGTCCCCATTACCACAGGCACTGGTAAGGGAAAAGGGCTCTACAAGATGGATTCGGTGATCCTCCCAGGATTACGGGCAGGACATAAAGAAGAGGAACTCTGCACCAAGCAACTTCTTGTAGATGTCACAATCGTCAACCCATGTGTAAATGGAAGCATCGACAAGTCGATCCAAACACCACAGGATCCACCCTCCTCCAAGATCGAGTTGCAAGTAAGGCAAACAAACCACTAGCCTACTTTGTATGCGGGAACTTTCAACCAGTCTATGTTTGTTTGTAGATCTATAGTCTGCCCTCCTTATTACTGTGTTTTTTCAACGTATGGTGGTCTTGACCAAGGCCCCAATCGATTTACTCGTAGCTATCGCCAACCATCTGGCCTACGAAGCATTTTGCAGGGAAACTCCGACGATGAAACAACCTGCTTGCTTTGGCTGCTGAAGGATTCCATACAGTAGTCTACTTGTACACAGACTTGGAAGACGGTTCACCTTCGAGCTGGCTCGTTTTCTGTCAGTACGAATTCGTGATGTTTTCCAACGTCATGTTGACTACTGATCCACCAACTTCCACCACGACCAAATAGGTTCGGGTTATAGTCTAGTACGGTAAGGATGCGGGTCTCCACACAGGGAGGGGCGTTAGTCAAAGCTTCACCACTCGACAACTAGGAAGGCAACATTGCCGAAAAGGGCGGTTTTGGAATTATATCGTAGGGGTATTTCCTTAGACGTGTTGTTTGGCCTTCGCACCCTCCTAGTTGCGGAGTAAGAAAGCTTTGAAAAACGCCAACACCCCTGTGCGGAGACCCGCATCCTTACGGTACTGTAGTTCCGGTGAAAGCGATGACGATGATATTGAGGGCAATTCTATTGGGAGTGACGGCGATGGAGGAGAGGGAAGAGCGGAGAATGAAAGAAGGCGATGATGGAGGAGGAATACATGGCGTGGAAGAGAGCAAAGGGTTTGAGCCAGATGACCTCTTCCTCACAACAATCGCCGCAGGACTGGAGAGGACCTGCCAAAAAGTAATGGTAATACTGGCAACGAGAGTGGTGGTAGTACCGTGAGAGTTGGAGAGTTGGCACCGGCCGGAGAGATGGCACTGGTCGGAGAGATGGCACCGGGGTGCGATAAAAAACCCCAGAAAAAAACATTTAATTCGATTTACGCACTGGGCGCACCCGGTGCGATCTCTCCGACCCCCAAATCCAAGATTGAACTCCTTTTCAGCTGCCAGAATGAGGTACATGAGCGTACCTTTTACACGTGGGGACGGAGTCGTCAGCGGAGCGCCACTCCCTCACGTACGATTGGATGGTCGCGGTTCACGCGGGATGCCAGTTGTTTTCATATATTTTTATTGGTATGGAAGTCGCCAACCGTACACTCAACCAAACACACAACGTACAAGCCGCACCCTACCCCACCTTACACAACCCGAAACTATTGTACTTCTGCGTACGTACTGGTATCCGTAGAAGAGGACCGAAACGAAAGCGGAAAACAATTGATACCGTGTGTACTGGTACCACCTCAGATGGAAACGACATCGTTTGTTGTTGTCACGCCATAGCCAAACTCGCATCAAACACAAGACCAATCAGTACTATGGCAACGATCGGGGAGATGGCGTCGGGGTGCGTGCATACCACACCTGTGTGCATTTCATCGGGGATCGCATCGGTCGGAGAGATCGCACCGGGGTGCAACACCTATGTGTATTTATTTCATCGGAGATCGCACCGGTAGGAGAGATCGCACCGGGGTGCCTTGAAAATTCGAAACGAAATGATTTAATTGCATTTCCGCGCCGGAGTCGGAGAGATGGCACACTCACGCCCGATCCTTTAAAATTGCACGTGCCCATGGGCTGCCGGCCCCACGAGCGCGTAGCTGTCGCTGTTGCGGAGAATGTCCCAGAAAAAAGCGCATGCGAGAGATATTCTTGACCCGATCCCACACGAGTGGGGCCTCTTTAACGCAATTTTACAAGACGACAATAATTGGCTCTTGGGACCAGTATGTGCGGAGGAACCGCAGCGAGCTCGCGTTGCGTAGCTTTTATGAACTCTGAGAGAACAGTTGGGATCAAGAAATGGGGTTGGTTGCTACTAGAAACGGCCAGAACATTGCTTGAATAAACAGCTGGATATATATCATGTACCTCTGTGTCCTACATACAGGTGAAGTAGGAGGCAGAGAAGGGAGTAAGGTCGACTCCAGAGCCCAAGCCAGACGGCCGTCTGAACAAACGTCTGCAGTACAGCTGTTTCAAAATTTTATGAAACGCACGCCCTGCAAAATATGAGTCTGCCTTGCCTTTGCATTTTTGGAAGGTAGATCTAACGCCTTCCTGAGGCAGGACTCAAGGGGGCCGGCCCGTCCAGACACAAAATTATTCACAGATTTCTTTTCGGCGCCCGTGAGCGACATGGTTGGCATCAAAGTGCAGAAAACTCCAGCTGAGACAGGACGTACAGCGAGTACGGATGACTCGTCTGCACAACTCAGCCAGGTCAAACTCTGAAAAGCTGTCGGAAGTGATGTGTGCGTGTCCACTCCTTCCTCCACAAGTCGGGTGTTTGGTCGAATGCTCATGCTCGTTTTGTAACCACCTGTATTCAACCCCTCACTATCCAACCCCTAACCCACACTCAAACAAACCAAGACCGGTCCGAGCCAAGCCTACACACCGGCCGTTTCGTTCAACCAAACACAACAAAATCCCTGCCGAAATCAACGCCAACCCCCACCTCAACGCACGTAATACAATCCACAACCCCCCCCCGCCATACCGCGCAAGCCCTCCCATCCAGTGGGAACCTGCCCAACTCGGCACAACATCACGCAACACACGCGCTACCCGAGGTACTTGCAGTTGGAGACCGACGGAAAGAAAAATGTGTCGTTGGTCGTTGTGAAAACGAGCGTGGGGAATACTGCGAACAACGAAATGAGAGAGTTAGTTGGCCAACAACAAACACACCCAGCCAGGCGACGTATCCTACACTATTTCCTACGGCATTCACCACACAAAAGATGAGGCCGCGGATCCCCAACTTGGGGTTTCTTATGCGCAAGTGCCAAAGCGTACGGCGAGAAGTCTCTGTGCGCCTCCGGTCTGAACGGATGTGTATGAACTCGACGGACTGCGAGGGTACACCAAACAGCACATAAAAAACTATCGCGTGCGGGATGAAAAAGGGTGGCAAAGAATTGTTGATGGACATCACCAAAGCGCCAGGGAGGCCACCTGTGCGCTACATTCATTCCTATACTCCACTTATATTACTAGGTTATTGCTCGCTAGACTTTCGAACCCACGAGTATCCAATACCATTCTTAATCATCTCCATGTGACTTCTCCAATCGAATTCACTCGGTATGGGCTCGTGAACCCGGGGGCGGTACCAAGGCAAGCACGACTCGCACCGCGCCTCTTCTGGGCCGAACTCCTCTTTTGTCATGAAATCGCACAAGGCCTTGTACGCCGGTCCGTGCAATTCCTTGAACCCCTCTTGCTGCCCTTCGTCGAGAGTGGCACTTGGGCTGAACTGGCTTGGCGCGGCCTCAAGCACCTCGGCAGCGGTGGCGTGGAGGAAAGCTTCGAGTACGTCGTGAAGTGGAAGATCGACGCTGGCCACGGTCCCGACAGCGATCTTCACCAGCCAAAGAGCTCCCTGCACGATGCAGCGCACCGGAGCAGAGGGTTTCCGAAACGCAACCGGAACCAACGTCGTGGTGTGTTGATTGTGCCGTATAGCTTGTACACCTGTATTTTCCTCCCGTTGCAACTTGCAACAAACTTTCCCGCACCGACAGATGGAGGCAGACGCTTGGCGAACACCGGCTCATGGGAGTAAATTGCACAAGTAAATAATGTCCTTGGTCAGGACTGCTTCCAATCCTCTGCTTTCTGCCTCCAATTCTATGCTTGTCCGTTATTGTTCCCCGCCGCGAGGAAAGAATCAGGAGGGTGAAGGGGGGGGGAAGAGAAAGAAATGCTAGGGCGACGAAGATACATCGAGGAACACTGTGAGAGGGCGTGCGTTGTCCCGGAGCGCGGATTCTGCTCCACAGTTGATCTCATGCCACCCAATATTCTGTAACATCTGCTTATGTGTATGAAATGAATCCAGCGAAGAGAAGGTTGTTTGGCACAGACGTCGGGCCCTCACAACAAAATAGTGGGGGGAAGGGGTCCCGGAAAGTAATGTTTCGAAAGCACGGGGTCCCGCAGATTCGTTCCAAAAAACGGGGTTCAGCTGAGCTGTATTTTCGGGGTTCCGCAACATACATAAAAAAAAAGAGGATCCGCAGAAATGTTCCATCTAATATTGCGGAAGGAAGGATCGAAACTCCCGCGGGACTATGAGACCCCTTCTATGCCGGTCGTGTAGTAGCAGAAAGTTATCGAAAAAAAAGTGGGCCTTCTCTCTTTCATCTGTCGCTCGCTGGTCAGCTGCAAGCTGTCCCTCTTCTTCGAACCGATGCGAAAAGGATTTTGGAGTCGTTTCGTTTCTTAGCCCGACCAGAAAACAATGTTTCAGGATCATTACTTGCGAAACTCACCTGAAGCAAGGGCTTCAACGTGTTGAACAATGAGCCCGGGTTGTGTACTCGGAAGCCCTTGCCCTGTGGCCCGCAAGGAATTTCCGAGAAGTCGCGCTCGCACAGAAAGACGAGGACAAAGTCGCAGCTGCCACCCGATCTGCAGAGGTCTATCCACCGATCCCACGTCCTGCGCAGTTGTATGGCGCCATTAACGCTCTCCTCGGCTTGCGTTTCCTGGATGCTAGTGGTCTCGACAGGCTTGAGTAGCACCAGTCGTGGATACGGAAGCTCGACAGGGTCACCATATGATGGAAACGCAGCCCGGAACATCCGAACGGATTCACGCCTGGTATCTTCCAGGATCTTAGCCAATTGTGTGGCCAGGTATCGCTCGAAGTGCACTTGGAATTGGTCGGATTGGGTGATGTTAAGCTCCTCGAATATCGGCAAGCGGAGCCCCGGGTAACCGTGGATGTTGTCCTGGAGAAGACTCAATAGCTGTTCTCCAACCTCTCGCAGGACGCCCTTAGCTTCCGCAGTCTTGCCCTTGACGCAAATAGCAATCGCAGGGAAGGTGCTCTGTCCAGGGATTATGTCCTTTTCAATCGTGGTCTCGCAAAGAAGCACATCGTGCTCGTTAGAGTCCTTTTTCCACTGAATGTGAGCCCCGTGCTGCCAGCATTTGCCTGAAGCCTCAAACCTGCTTGAGGTGAAGGCCAAAAAGCGCCCAATTATCCCTGTTGGGGCGTGGCTCCGCAGGAACCACGCTGTCTTTCCCACCACCACCTCGCCGAGCCCGATGCTTTCCTCCAGAATGTTATCGTTCCCATGCTCTGGTAACCTCGCCGGCACGATGTGACAATCCTCCGCGTTGCTGCACTCCCCGTGAGAGGGGTAAATGAACAAGTACTTGATCATGGTGTCCACCATGCTGTCGAAGGCGTCCTTGTCTAATTGAGCTCCTGCGTAATCGCCTTCGACTTCCAGCTTGCGATGGACCCACAGAAATCGAAGGTAATCCCGGTTCAGTCGACCCTGTCGAATAAAGCACCTGTCGAGGACGTGAGAGAGGGAGCCCTCATCGTGACCGTAATGGAAACAGTTTCGTGCTGATACTAAGCCGATGGAATCTGCACTGCAAGCCCGGCGTCAAGACAGTGTTACCACACGCCCCAACATTCGCATGGTGAACAGCATGAACATCTCCTAGCGGCCCAGGCACATTATGTCCATGGAACATGTTAGACGCGAATTCTCCACAGCTTGTGATGATTAACTCACCAATCATAATTGGTTCCGAGTATCTGGCACTGCAGCACAAGTAACAACGCGTCAATATGATGGCTGAGGCGTCCGCGGCTATGCCAAAACTCGACTCACGCGTGTGTTTCGCACAGGTTCTTGTACCCACTGAGAGTGTCAGGCCGGGTTCTGTCGTACTCGAGCAGCTCCTGCAATATCTTGTTTTGCTTTTTCTTGTCCACGAGGTTGTGATCCGTGACCCGCCTCACGAGCTCGATGAGCCACCGAGGATCCACGTGAATCATGTCACTTTGTGCGGGGGAAGACTCGTCTCGCAAAGACAAAATCACGCCTCCCTCCGCCTCTCGATGCTTCATCGCTTCCTTGAGGTTGGTCGCAGCGTCTTCGTCAGACAGAGGCTTGTTGCGCTCCTCTTTACCCTCCTCTTTGTGCTTCTCTTGGAAATATCGCTGGAACGCTCTCACTGCATCACCCCACAGCACGTACGGTGTCCCCTTCTCTTTGTGTAACGCCTCGACAGCGGCGATCGCGTCCACCCAAGCTGCCGGCAAGATTGTAGCAACAGCCGGAAAGGAGAAGGATATCTTCTCGGGTGCCACACCTATGATCCAGTCGCTTAGCCTGCCGATCCTGTTGTCCAGGCCAAGAGATGCACAAAAAACTCTTGGGTGGAGGATGAGAGGGTGTGTAGAACCTCTCTGAAAACTGTCGTCCTTCTCCGCACTTGCGTTCCCGCAGGAGAGCTTGAGCTCCTTCGCCTTGTCCTCCTGGTATTGACGAACAACTGCATGTGGGCGCGCGGTCATGCGAAGCATAAATTTGTAGTATTGCATGTACCACAGTCCAAAGCTTTTGGCAAGACTACCTGCATAAAAGGCCAGTATGGGGAAGGGTCTAGGACACTTTTTCACAACTCAAACAAGACAAGCTGCGCCACGAAAAACGGAAGACGGCAGGGACTCTCGTTGAGAGACCACCCGCCCACCCTTCCAGTGCTATAGACGAACGCTAGATCTTTCGACAATTTCTGTCGAGGATAGAGAACGACTAGTCGGTGCTCACGAAACACACGATTGGTTATTCCTTTTCGCAACGGCATGGCTACAGCGACGCGACCCTCGCCAAAGGTGATGCCATCATTTACCCCACACTATTTGGAAAGAAGAACTGACCCGAAGCTCCAAATGAAGTACACATCGACGTGTATTCTTCATACTAAGATGGCACGACCGCCACGGCCGTTGGCGCACCCCTCCAGCATGTGCGGCCTCCCCTTCCGTGCGTTCCCCAACCACCTCACCCCTCTCTACTCTCTGACACACGAAATTGGGGCAGCCCTGACCAGGGACAATCTTTTTGCATTTGAACTGACGAATTGACCATTTGCTTCGACTGACACGCGCACACTTTGTCAAGAGACAACAGTCTACCGAAAATCAGACGAACGGTAGAGATCACAATCCAACACATTACCTTCTACGTGGGGGGGGGGGGGGGGTTATCTCAATGGTATACCGTAAACGTCGGAGTTTTCCCCCCAGAGTAAAGTTCCCCCCCCCCAAAAAAAAACCTTTCGGCCTGGAAGATTGGTTTCTTTGGTTTAGTCCCGGGGTAGATCGTTTTCGACCACATAGAAAAAAATCCCCCCGGGTATTTCAATTTCCCCCCGGGGTACCAGTTTTCCTACGAGTTCCCCCCGGCGGGATGTATTTCCCTTATTTTCTGAGTCGATTTTGTTGCATCGCGGAGCACAAAAAGCATGATATGGGACAGAAGGTTCATTTGCAGATCTCGTTGTAGTGTGAACGGAGCTGCCGGGTACTCTCTGGAAGGCGGGCCCTTCCTCTTCTTGGAATCACTCGCGGGACGAGACAACCTCCCCCAGCTGCTGTCCTCCATGCAGTCTCTTTTCTCTTCGCCTTCGTTGCTCTTACGTTCCTCCTCCCTCTGCTTGTTGAACGCTTGCTCGTAAACCTTATCCATCTCAGTTTCGCCAGTCTCTGTGTGTGTGGTGTGTGGACCATCAGTATTTTGCACAACCCCCCGGGGGGGGGCTTCCCCCCGGGGTAGCGTTGGAAAAAAAAACTATCCCCTCCCGGTACGTCAATTTCCCCCGGGGGGGTTGGTTTCAGAAAAAAAACGATCCCCTCCCCGGGGGGAAAACTCCGACGTGTACGGTAGTTGGAGTTTCCGGTTCTTTCGGCTGCGCCCCAACCCTTTTCAAAAATCATAGCATTTTTAAAAGGCGGGGGAAATTGCACTCAGGATTCAGTATGAAACCTACCATCGCGATAATATAGTTGCAGCAGTTGATTGAGTGCCAGCTTATGCGCAGATTCAAGGGCATGTGACGAACTGCAATTGCAACGCTCACAGCGTTCGAAACGAGTTCTCCTTCATTGAGTTCGGTAAGCTACAAGCGTAGAAACAGCCTGCTGTAGAGGTCATATTCGTACTAAACATAGAGTGCGTTTCCCCAGCCTTTTCAAAATCCAGCGAAATGTGAAAAGGGTTGCGGCCCAGCCTTAAATTTATCCCTTAATGTCACTCACGCGTTCGGAAGCGCTTCTCCGCCTTGTAGAGCTGCCTTTGGCCATTCTTGATCTCCTCAGCATACCGGGGACCTGAACTTCGGAGCGTACAGAAGCATGATCAGCACCTGCGAGGTACAGAGACGGTACGGTCCCCGGACCTCCTTGTATGTGGCCCATGCATAACGTGGCCAATCTCGTTCCAGGCGAAAGGTTTGGACAGAATTCGAGTCGACCGAAAGTCAGCCTTGCTAGTGATCCCCACATCAAGGGGAACTGCAAGGGTCCAAAAATGAAAAATAAAAAGCATCACTCGACACGGATGTTTCGGCCGATCGTCCAAAATGGCGGAGCGCCAATTTATGTTTTGACCGTATACGGACCTGTCTTTGAGCACCTATGTGAGAGACGGGTGGTGCCTACAAACATTTGGTGCCCGCACCGTGCATTCTCAATAAAGGTGTTGGTCGCAGATTCATTCCAAACACACACCTAAAAAAATGGTCACGACTAAGAAGCCCTGTTTCCTCTGCCTTTGATTTTGGGGGGGATGCACCCGATTTGAAATACACCTTCGCCGACCCGCTGCGTCGCAGCTGAAAATGGCCACGTCCCGTCCGATCATTAGCAGAGATTGCATACGATAGGAAGTGAGTGTTTTCACCCGCAGTGGCTTGCCCATCTCTCCAGACCCATGGTTGAGCCCATAACAACAATGGATGGGTTGCCTATCTTTCCAGGTCTATCTATCGTCCGCAGCCATGGGAGCCGAATTAGAAAGACCTTTTCGGTAACTCAAACCTAATTTTTTGCCCTCCGAAAAAGCACCAACAACCCACAGCGAACGTTTTGTGCTCGGTTGATTCTCAGGCTTGCCGCTCACAAGCAGTTGTAGCTCAAGAAATTGCTACAACACTCGCCGCATGCCCTTGAAAGCAGCAGCACGAAGCTAAAAGCACGTTATCAGTACAACAAAAAACCTCTTTTGTATGGTTTCAAAATGCGGCGAAACGGCTGATTAACGGAGATCGTCCGCACCGTTTGATGCACGTATCACTCACCCGGGATTCGGCCCTCCATTTCAGTTCGTAGGACTTGCACCAGGTCGTTAAGGTCTTCAGCTGATTATTTCAAAATGGGAGAGCAATTTAGCTTTGGGAGCGAGCTACTTCGATCGCAGAAATTGAGGATTCACCGGATTTGACTGGACCTTCAATGAGGGTGCTTACCGTCTATTGAACAACTAAAACAAACTCCATCCTAACTAGCTCGGAGGTCTACCCGAAGAAAGCTCCGGGGGAAAGAGTAAACACTCTGCGCAACGCTCAAAGTAGTGGCAGGATTTCAACACCAACTATGGGGCCGAGTGTGGCGACTCCCGCTCATCACGATCAACAGCCCGCTGTTGCCGCCAGAAATAACTGACTGCACGTGCCGTTTGGTGCAGTTGTCACTCACCCGGGAGTTGGTCCTGCAGGTAAATTCGCATCAGCTGCACTAGGTCGTCCAGGTCTTCAGCTGGTATTTACAGCATGGGACAACATTTTTGTGGCAAGTGTGAGCTGCTTCGAACTCAGAACTCTAAGATAAAACGGATTTCAATGTTCACCCAGGAGGAAGAGCCGACTATGCTGCTTTTCGTTCATCAAATCAGAAACCAACATTGGCACTAGACTCAAGGCGGTACGTAAGGCATCGAGGTTGCGCCAAGCATAGGGCCGAGTCTGTTCGTTACTGCTAAGCAGTCACGATCAACCGCCCGCTGTTTGATGCCTGATTAAACCAACTGCATGTCCGGATCATTTGAACCAGGTGTCACTCACCCGAGACGACTTGGTCCTCCAGTGTAGTTCGCACCAGTTCGAGCAGGTGATCAGGCTCTTCATCGCCTGAGTATTCGGCAGGGAAGGGCATTTTCGTTGTGTAGGTGAGATGCTTCGAATGCGGAACTAGCCGACAAATCGGCCAAAGTTCACCCAGGAGGCTAAGATCCGATCATGCTGCATTTCGTTCACCAACCAAGACAAAAAACTCCATCTTACATAGTGCTGCACGTATTGACCGAACAATGAACCATCGGACGAAAGATCAGGCACTCACTTCAACGCGGTAAATGAGGCGCCGAGTCTGCCGTTTAATGCTAAGCTTTTTCAGAATTAAGTGCACGTCCGTAACATCTGATGCAAGTGTCACTCACCCGAGAGTTGCAGACGAGTTCGTACCAGCTGCTCGAGCTTGTTAATGTCTTCAGCTGGTATCAACGTGGGACAACATTTTCGTGACGACTGTGAGCACTTCGATTGTAGGCCTCGAGGATCAATCGAAGCCAAGAGGAAATTCACTCAGGAGGAAGATCCGACCATGCTGCCGTTAGTTCATTCAATCGGAAGCCAACTTTCTTCCCTACAACAGCCCTGAACAACGTACAGAAAAGAACTTTCGAATGACACAAGTGGTACTCGACTGCAGGTGGTGCACAGGGCACCGAGGTTGGGCCAAACACAGGCCGAGTCTGTTCGCTGCTGGCAAACATTTACGATCAACAGCCAGCTGTTTGGTGTCTTCTAAAACCAACTTGCATGTCCGTACGATTTGATCAAGGTGACACTCACCCGAGAATTGCCCCACCAGTGTTTTTCGTTCCAGTTGGAGCAGCTTGTCAAGCTCTTCGTCACCTGAGCATGTATTTTCAACGCCGGAGGATATTTCGTTCTGTGGGTTAGATGCTTGGATTGTAAAACTCGAGCCAAAACGTCCGCAACTGGACCGAAACCAGACATCTTCCACTGCTGACTCGCCGCCATATACCCCAATCTCCTGAACTGCGGGCTTACAGCAGCAGCTGATGATGCGACTATCTCCTTTAAGCGGCCAGCAATTCAGGAAGTAAAAGTCCGTAGCGGCGAGCACAGCATTGACAAGGGTTTGCTGTCGCTTGAAAATGCGGATTTTCGAGCCACAGCCGCAGCCTTCGATATCTCCGCCCCAGCTGCAGATCTGAACGTGCCGACACACGCTTTCCCTCAATATGGTATCTGTTGATGATTGCTCTATTCAGGTCGGGACTCCTAGCGTGGAAATGTTGGATTCTGAAAATCGGTGTCATGTTTGATTCGACCTAACAATGTATGGGCGAAAGGGGGGGGTGGATCACCACCTCTTGCACCAGAATGAACAGAAAAAAGGCACCGTGTTTACACCACACACCAACCACACACGGTGCCGAGTCTATTCACTACTGCTGAACGATCGATACCCAGCTATTGCTGCCTTCAAAAATCAACGTCACGTCCGCACCGTTTGATGTTGGTGTCACTCACCCAGGATCTGGCCCTCCAGTTGAGTTCGTAGCAGTTGCAGCAGGTTGTCTAGATCTTCAGCTGGGTACAGTTCAATATGAGAGAACAATTTTATGCTGCGGGTAAGCTGATTCGGTCCCAGAAGTTGAGGGTACACCGGATTTGACTCCAACATCGCCGAGGAGGCAAAATTCAACATGGTTGGTGCGTTTCCCTCATCATAAAGAAACCAAACTCTGAAAAAAATGGCACTCGGATCAACGCGGAAAGTAGGGCACCATGGTAATGCCAAACATTGGGGCATAATCTATCCAGCACCATTAGGCAATAGTCTAACGATCAACAGCCGGCCGTTTCCGCCAGAAATAACCAACTGCATGCACGAACCTTTTGGTGCAGCTGTCACTTACCCGAAAGTTGGCCCTGCAGTCGAGTTCGTACCAGTCGCACCAGGTCGTCAAGGTCTTCAGCTGGTATTTTCAACACGTGACAACATTTCGCTGCGTAAGTAAGCTGCTTCAATCGCGTGTAACTTGGGAATACACCAGAGTTGACTGGATTTTCACTGATGAGGCAAAGAAAAATACTCGCACGTGGTGAGTGTTTTGTCGTTTTGAGTTCAAACAACCAACCAACCCCATCCTACGTAGCCCCACGTCCCTCTGACCGAAACAAACACATTCTAGCAAAATAGTCGGCAGTCCGTTTTACGCGAAACGGAAGGCACCAGGGTTATACACCAACTGCGTCTCCGAGTTTGGCAACTACCGCTAAGCATTAGCAATCAAGAGTTAAGCTGTACCAGACAGACACTGCCAACTTTATGCAGGGAACGTTTGGTGCAGTTGTCACTCACCCCGGCGTTGGTCCTCCAGTTTAGTTCGTACAAATTGCACCATGTAGTGAAGGCCTTCAACTGATATTTCAACATGGGAGAACATTTCGGTGCGTGAGTGAGCTCCAGAGCTGCTTCCATTGTAGAACTCGAGGACAAACCGGACACGAGAAGAAGTTCACCCAGTAGGAAAAGACCCGATCATGCTGCTGTCGGTCAACAAACAAGAAATCAATCGCATCCCTCGTAGCCCTTAATGCCTGACTGAAGCAAAACATTTCGGAATCAAGAGTAGGCACGCGGGTACACACCCAGCATGGAGTCGAGTCTGTACAACACTGGAGAACATTTACGATCAACAACGGGCTGTCGTTGCCTGAAACAACCAACTTCTTCATTGATGGACTTCTCACTCACCCGATAGTTGGCACACCAGTTTGGAGTGTACCAGTTGCAGCAGGCCGTCGGCAAGGTCTGTACCTGGGTATTTCAAAATGTCAGCATAGTTTCGTTGTGTACGTGGCCTTATTCGACCCTAGAACTTGGGGAATATACCGGATTCAAGAGGAAAAACACCGAGGAGGAAAGATTCCAACATGGTCAGTGCTTTTCGTTCATAAAAAAATCCTCCCCCATCCTACGAAGCCCTGCACGCCTGACAGTCATAAATCAGCTCCGCGACAATAGTACGCACTCAATTCGGCGTCCGGGAATGTGTCAGGAGTACGCCAAAATTACGGCACCAAGTCTGTGCACGACTGTCAAGCATGAACGACCAACGGACCAACAGATCAACAGCCGGTAGTTCGCTGCCTGATCAAGTCAACTGCACGTCCATACGGTCTGATGCTGGTGTCACTCACCCGAGAGTTGGCCCTCCAAATTGGTTCGTACCAGTTGCACGAGGTCGCCAAGACCTTCAGCTGAGTATTTCAAAAATGGGACAACAGTTTCCTTGTGTCAGTGAGATGCTTCGATTGCACAACTCAAGTATAATCGGATTCAAGAGGAATTTTAACCGGGAGGCTAGATTCCAACATGGTGAGCGTTCTTCGTTCATCAAACAAATATACCACTCCCATCCTACGATGCTCCGTACGCCTCACCCAAACAAAACATTTCGGAAAAAACAGTATACGCACTCAGTTCGGCGGTAGGCAATGCATCAGGGATACGCCAAACACGGCGCCAAGTCTGTCCGCCACGGTCAAGCATCAACGATCAACGAATCAACGATCAACGGATCAACAGCCGGCTGTTCGCTGCACGATCAAGTCAACTGCACGTCTATACGACATGATGCTGGTGTCACTCACCCGACAATTGGCCCTCCAGCTTGGTTCGTACCAGTTGCACGAGGTCGCCAAGGCCCTCAGCTGAGTATGTCAATGCGGTACAGCAGTTTCGTTGTGTCAAGTGAGCGCTTCTATTGTAGAACTACACGACAAACCAGACTTCACAGGAATATCACATAAGCGGCAGACGTTCCATCATGGTGAGTGGTTTTCGTTCATCAAACAAGTTACCCGCCTCCATCGTGCGAAGCACCGTACTCATGGCCGACATGCACGTTTGAGGGTTAGATCAATGATTTGGTGTAAGGCGGCAAGTCAGGCACCAGGGTTGTGCCAAACGTTTAGCTGTCCACCTCTGCTACGAGCTACAACGATCAAGAGCGCCGGTTGCTGCTGCCCGGTAAAACCAACAGTTAGTCCGTTCGATCTGATGCAAATATCGCTTACCCGAGAGGTGGCCCTCCAGTCGAGCTCGTAACCATTGAAGAACGTCGTCAAGGTCATCAGCTGCGTAATTCAACACGGGAGGATAGTCGTTGTGAGGGCAACCGGCTTCGATTGTAGAACTCGAGGACCAAAACCAGATTCAAGAGGAAGTAAGAAGTTCACCCAAGAAGGCATGATCCGATCACGCTGCTTTCCATTAATCAAACAAGAGATCAATCGCACCCACGGAGCCCAGCGCCTGACCGACATATACGTAGGCGAAAGAAGGCGCAGCCAGGCGGTGATCAAGGCACGAGGGGCCACCCAAATATGCAGGAGAGTCTGTCCAACACTGGCAAACATTTACGACCAACAGCGGGCTGTTGTTATGTGATACAACCAACTTCATTGATGCAATTGTCACTCACCCGCCAGTTGGCCCACCAGTTTGGAGTGTACCAGTTCCACCAGGCCGCCGGCAAGGTCTACATCTGGATATTTCACCATGTCAGAAGAGTTCCGTTGTGTGAGTGACCGTATTTGACTGCAGAATTTGGGATATATTCCGGATTCAAGAGGAAAAAACACCAAGGAGGCAAGATTCCAACATGGGGGAGAATTTTTCGTTTGTAAAAGAATCCACACCCATCCTAAGAAGACCCCCTCACGCCTGACCGTGACAAATCGCCTCGGAAAAAAAAAACGCAATCAGTCCGGCGTCGCCGAATGCATCAGGGCTACGCCAAATACGGCGCCAAGTTTGTCCACGACTGTTAAGCATGAACGATAACGGACGAACGGATCAACAGCCGGTTCTTTGCTGCCTGATCAACTCAACTGCACGTCCATACGGTCTGGTGCTGGTGTCACTCACCCGAGAGGTGGCCCTCCAAATTTTTTCGTACTTGTTGCGCGAGGTTGCCAATGCCCTCAGCTGAGTATGTTAACACGGGACAACCGTTTCGTTGTGTCAGTGAGATGCTTTAATTACACAACTCGAGAATAAATCGGATTCAAGAGGAATTTTGCACAGCAGGCATGGATTCCAACATGGTGAGTGTTCTTCGTTCTTCAAACAAATATACCACACCCATCTCAAGATGTTTCGTACGCCTCACCCAAACAAAACATTTCGGAAAATGCAGTGTACGCACTCAGTTTGGCGGTAGGCAATCCATCAGGGATACGCCGAACACAGGGCTGACTCTGTCCGCCACGGTCAAGCATCAACGATCAACGGATCAACAGCCGGTTGTTCGTTGTACGATCAACTGCACATCAATACGATCTGATGCTGGTGTCACTCACCCGACAGTTGGCCCTCCAGCTCGGTTTGTACCAGTTGCACGATGTCGCCAAGGCCCTCACCTGAGTATTTCAATATGCGACAACAGTTTCGTTGTGTCAAGTGAGCGTCCTATTGTAGAACGAAACGATAAAAAACCAGAATCCACTGGAATATCACAAAAGCGGCAGACGTTCCATCATGGTGAGTGGTTTTCGTTCATCAAACAAATTACCCGCCTCCATCGTATGAAGCCCCGTACGCATGGCCGGCATGCACGTTTGACGATTAGATAAGGGATTTGGTGTAAGGCGGCAAGTCAGGCACCAGGGTTGTGCCAAACGTAGAGCTGTCCACCTCTGTTAAGCACTACAACGATCAAGAGCGCCGCCTGCCGCTGCCCGGTAAAACCAACAGTTAGCCCGTTCGATCTGATGCAAATATCGCTTACCCGAGAGGTGGCCCTCCAGTCGAGCTCGCAACCATCGAAGCACGTCGTCAAGGTCATCAACTGCGTAATTCAACACGGGAGGATATTCGTTGTGAGGGTAACCTGCTTCGATTGTAGAACTCGAGGACCAAAATCAGACTCAAGAGGAAGTTCACCCAAGAAGGCATGATCCGATCATGCTGCTTTCCATCCAACAAACAAGATATCAATCGCATCCGACGGAGCATAGGGCCTGACCGACATATTATAGATACGGCGAAAGAAGGCACAGCCAGGTGGTGAGCAAGGTGCCAGGGGCCACCCAAATATGCAGGCGAGTCTGTCCAACACTGGCGAACATTTACGATCATCAGCGGGCTGTTGTTGCCTCACGCAAACGAACTGCATGTCAGAATTGTTTGATGCAATTGTCGCTCACCCGATAGTTGGCCGACCAGTTTGGAGTGTACCAGTTCCACCAGGACGTCGGCAAGGTCTCCGGCTGATTTTTTCAGCGTGAGAGAAAAAATCGTTGAGTAAGTGGGCTTCTTCGACTCCATAACTTCGGAATCTACCGGATTTGACAACAAACTCACTGAAGCCATAGATTCCAGCATGGTGAGTGCTTTTCGTTCATCAAACAAATAAACCACACCCATCCTCCGATGCTCCGTAGGCCTGACTGACAAAAACATGTCGACAAAAAGACAACTCACTAAGCTCGACGGTGCCAGGTTCTGTCTGCGAGTGTCAAGCATCAACGGACCAACGGATCAACAGCAGGTAGTTCGCTGCCTGATCAAGTCAACTGCTCGTCCATACGGTCTGATGCTGGTGTCACTCACCCGAGAGTTGGCCCTCCAAACATGTCCGTACTCGTTGCACGAGGTCGCCAAGGCCTGCAGCTGAGTATTTCAATATGGTACAGCAGTTTCGTTGTGTCTTGTGAGATGCTTTGACTGAACAACTCGAGCATAAACCAGATTACAGGAGGAAATTCGTACGGGAGGCATACATTCCAACATGGGTGAGTGTTTTTCGTCCATCAAACAAATATACCGTTCCCATCCTACGGTGCTCCCTCCCGGTGTTTGTCATCGGGGTTGGGTTGTCCAAGCTTGGCAACGACATATAGCAACGACATCACGACATTGTAAAACAAGCCGATCGGTTCGTGGGCTCGACAAAGGATACCCACTTTCTTCCCGTTGTATTGTTTGCGGCAACATAATGGTGGTCGAGTAGATTATGTTGTGCGAGGTCGACAACGCTCACTCGCGCAAAGGGGATGATCGCCCCACGTGGTGTTAAAATGGTGAAGCACCCTCGAGGCAGTTACACAGTGCTAACAACCGTCTCTGGGAGTGTAAGCACCAGAAAATATATTAAGTTATTCGCACATGCCATCCGTACGCAAGGAAGCAAGCACAAGATGCCGAACGCCCAATACAGGATGCAGCGCACCCTCCATGGTGTTTGCCGAATACCTCACGGTCCTTCGCGCTTGGTAATGTGACAGCCTCGTCCTGTGAGAACCCGGCCTGCTAAGTCCCGGCTTTGCAGGGATGCGAGGTAAATTGTCAAACGACTACGGCCTGCACGACTATGAGTACACCCCCCCCATCCTACGATGCTCCGTACGCCTCACCCAAACAAAACATTTCGGAAAAAACATTATACGCACTCAGTTCGGCGGTAGGCAATGCATCAGGGATACGCCAAACAGGGTCCCGAGTCTGCTCGCCACGGTCAAGCATCAACGATCAACGGATCAAGAGCTGGCTGTTCGCTGCACGATCAAGTCACATGCATGTCCATACGATCTGACGGTGGTGTCACTCACCCGACAGTTGGCCCTCCAGCTCGGTTCGTACCAGTTGCACGACGTCGCCAAGGCCCTCACCTGAGTATGTCAATGCGGTACAGCAGTTTCGTTGAGTCAAGTGAGCGCTCCTATTATTGTAGAACGAAAACGACAAAACAGATTTCACTGGAATATCACAGAAGCGGCAGGCGTTCCATCATGGTGAGTGGTTTTCGTTCATCAAACAAATTACCCGCCTCCATCGTACGGAGCCCCGTACTCATGGCCGACATGTACGTTTGACGATTGGATAAATGATTCGGTGTAAGGCGGCAAGTCAGGCACCAAGGTTGTGCCAAACGTAGAGCTGTCCACCACTGCTAAGCACTACAACGATCAAGAGCGCCGGCTGCTGCTGCCGGTAAAACCAACAGTTAACCATTCGATCTGATGCAAATATCGCTTACCCGAGAGGTGGCCCTCCAGTCGAGCTCGTAACCATTGCAGCGCGTTGTCAAGGTCATCAGCTGCGTATGTATTTCAACACGGGAGGATATTCGTTGTGAGGGTAACCTGCTTCGATTGTAGAACTCGAAGACCAAAACCAGATTCAAGAGGAAGTTCACCCAAGAAGGCATGATCCGATCACGCTGCTTTCCATTCATCAAACAAGAGATCAATCGCATCCGACGGAGCCCAGCGCCTGACCGACATATTATAGATACGGCGAAAGAAGGCACAGTCAGGTGGCGAGCAGGGTACTAGGGAGCACCCAAATATGCAGGCGAGTCTGTCCAACACTGGCGAACATTTACAATCAACAGCGGACTGTCATTGTCTGACACAACCAACTCCATTGATGCAATTGTCACTCACCCGATAGTTGGAACTCCATTTTGGAGTGTACCAGTTCCTCCAGACCGTCGGCACGGTCTGCATCTGGATATTTCAACATGTCAGAATAGTTTTGGGTGTGTGAGTGGCCATATTTGGCTGCAGAACTTGGGAAATACCAGATTGCAGAGGAAAAACACCGAGGAGGCAAAATTCCAATATTGTCAAGTGCTTTTCGTTTATCGAGTAAACCACACCCATCCTACGAAGACCCGCATGCCTGACCGTGACAAATCAGCGAGTCAGGCGAATAATACGCACTCAGTCCGGCGTCACCGAATGCATCAGGGCCAACCCAAACACGGCGCCAAGTTTCTTCACGACTGTCAAGCATGAACGATAAACGGACCAACGGATCAACAGCCGGTAGTCCGCTGCCTGATCAACTCAACTGCACGTCCATACGGTCCGATGCTGGTGTCACTCACCCGAGAGGTGTCCCTCCAACTTGGTTCGTACCAGTAGCACGAGGTTGCCAATGCCCTCAGCTGAATATTTTGTCACGGGACAACCGTTTCGTTGTGTCAGTGAGATGCCTTGATTGCATAACTCGAGTATGACTCGTATTTCAAGAGACATTTTGCACAGGAGGCGTAGATTCCAACATGGTGAGTGTTTTTCGTTCATCAAACAAATACACCACTCCCATCTCAAGATGCCCCGTACGCCTCACCCAAACAAAACATTTCGGAAAAAACAGTATACGCACTCAAAGTTCGGCGGTAGGCAATCCATCAGGGATACGCCGAACACAGGGCTGACTCTGTCCGCCATGGTCAAGCATCAACGATCAACAGATCAACAGCCGGTTGTTCGCTGCACCATCAAGTCAACTGCACGTCTATACGATCTGATGCTGGTGTCACTCACGCGACAGTCGACCCTCCAGCTCGGTTCGTACCAGTTGCACGAGGTCGCCAAGGCCCTCAGCTGAGTATTTCAGTATGGGATAACAGTTTCGTTGTGTCAAGTGAGCGCTCATATTATTGTAGAACGAAAAAGACAAAACAGATTTCACTGGAATATCACAGAAGCGGCAGACGTTCCATCATGGTGAGTGGTTTTCGTTCATCAAACAAATTACCCGCCTCCATCGTGCGAAGCCCCGTACGCACGGCCGACATGTACGTTTGAGGACTAGATAAATGATTCGGTGTAAGGCGGCAAGCCAGGCACCAAGGTTGTGCCAAACGTAGAGCTGTCCACCACTGCTACGAGCTACAACGATCAAGAGCGCCGGCTGTTGCTGCCCGGTAAAACCAACAGTTAGTCCGTTCGGTCTGATGCAAATATCGCTTACCCGAGAGGTGGCCCTCCAGTCGAGCTCGTAACCATTGAAGAACGTCGTCAAGGTCATCAGCTGCGTAATTCAACACGGGAGGATAGTCGTTGTGAGGGTAACCGGCTTCGATTGTAGAACTCGAGGACCAAAACCAGATTCAAGAGGAAGTTCACCCAAGAAGGCATGATCCGATCACGCTGCTTTCCGTTCAACAAACAAGATATCAATCGCATCCCACGGAGCCAAGCGCCTGACCGACATATACATATGGCGAAAGAAGGCACAGCGAAGTGGTGAGCAAGGTACCAGGGGCCACCCGAATATGCAGGCGAGTCTGTCCAACACTGGCGAACATTTACAACCAACAGCGGTCTGCTAGGACCTTAGGCAAGGCAACGAACTGCATGTCAGAATAGTTTGATGCAATTGTCACTCACCCGATAGTTGGATCACCAGTTTGGAGCGTACCAGTTCCACGAGGCTGTCGGCACGGTCTTCAGCTGAGTATTTCAACATGGGACAATATTTCGTTCTGTAAATTTACTTCTTCGACTGTAGAACTTGGAAATAGAAGTACCGGATTTAACTTGTGCCAACTTAATGAAGGCCAACATTTTAGCATGGTGGGTGCTTTTCGATCCTCAAAAAGATATACTACACCCATCCTACGATGCTCGGTACGCCCGGCCGAAACAAAACATTTCGGCAAAAGTAGTACGCACTCAGTTGGGCGTAACGGAATGCACCAGGGTTGCGCCAAATACGGCGCCAAGTTTGTCCACAACTCAAGCATCAACGATCAACAGATCAACAGCCCGTTGTTCACCGCCTGATCAAGTCAACTGCATGTCCATACGGTCTGATATGCTGGTGTCACTCACCCGAGAGGTGGCCCTCCAAATTGGTTCGTACCAGTTGCACGAGGTCGCGAAGGCATTCAGCTGAGTATTTCAATATGGGACAATCGTTTCGTTGTGTCAGTGAGATGCCTTGATTACATAACTCGAGCATTGATTGGATTCCAAGACGAAATTCGCTGAGGAGGCGTAGATTCTAACATGGTGAGTGCCTTTCGTTCACAAAGCAAATATACCACTCCAATCCTACGATGCTCCGTACGCCTCACCCAAACAAAATATTTCGGAAAAAAACAGTATACGCACTCAGTTCGGCGGTAGGCAATCCATCAGGGATACGCCAAACAGGGCGCTGACTCTGTCCGCCACGGTCAAGCATCAACGATCAACGGATCAACAGCCGACTATTCGCTGCACCATCAAGTCAACTGCACGTCCGTACGGTCTGACGCTGGTGTCACTCACCCGACAGTTGGCCCTCCAGCTCGGTTCGTACCAGTTGCAAGACGTCGCCAAGGCCCTCACCTGAGTATTTCAATATGGGATGACAGCTTCGTTGTGTCAAGTGAGCGCTCATATTATTGTAGAACGAAAAGACAAAACATAATCCACTGGAATATGACAGAAGCGGCAGACGCTCCAACGTGGTGAGTGGTTTTCGTTCATCAAACAAATTACCCGCCTCCATCGTACGGAGCCCCGTACTCATGGCCGACATGTACGTTTGACAATTGGATAAATGATTCGGTGTAAGGCGGCAAGTCAGGCACCAAGGTTGTGCCAAACGTAGAACTGTCCACTACTGCTAAGCACTACAACGATCAAGAGCGCCGGCTGTTGCTGCCCGGTAAAACCAACAGTTAGTCCGTTCGATCTGATGCACATATCGCTTACCCGAGAGGTGGCCCTCCAGTCGAGCTCGCAACCATTGCAGCACGTCGCCAAGGTCATCAGCTGCGTATTTCGTGTATCAACACAGGAGGATAGTCGTTGTGAGGGTAACCTGCTTCGACTGTAGAACTCGAGGACCAAAACCAGATTCAAGAGGAAGTTCACCCAAGAAGGCATGATCCGATCACGCTGCTTTCTGTTCAACAAACAAGATATCAATCGCATCCCACGGAGCCCAGCGCCTGCCCGCAATACACATATGGCGAAAGAAGGCACAGTCAGGTCGGGAGTAAGGTACCAGGGAACACCCAAATATGCAGGCGAGTCTGTCCAACATTGGCGAACATTTACGATCAACAGCGGACTGTCGTTGTCTGAAACGACCAACTCCATCGATGGACTCGTCACTCACCCGGTAGTTGGATCACCATTTTAGAGGCAAACAGTTCCATCAGGCCGTCGGCAAGGCCTCCAGCTGAGTATTTCAAAATGTCAGAAGAGTTTCGTTGTGTAAGTGGCCGTATTCGACTGCAGAACGTGGATATACCGGATTCAAGAGGAAAAACACCGAGTAGGCAAAATTCCAACATGGCGAGTGCTCTTCGATCAGTAAACACACCCATCCTACGATGCTCGGTACGCCTGACCGAAACGAAACATTTCGGCAAAAAAGTACGCAATCAGCTTGGCGTTTAGGGAATTCATCAGGGTTACGCCAAATACGGCGCCAAGTTTGTCCGCGACGGTCAAGCATCAACGAACAATGGATCAACAGATCAACACCCGGTTGTTCTCTGCCTGATCAACTCAACTGCACGTCCATACGGTCCGATGCTGGTGTCACTCACCCGAGAGTTGGCCCTCCAAATTGATTCGAACTCGTACAGCGAGGTTCTCAAGGCCTTCAACTGAGTATTTCAAAAATGGGACAATCGTTTCGTTGTGTCAGTGAGATGCCTTCATTGCATAACTCGAGCATTGATTGGATTCCAAGACGAAATTCACACAGGAGGCATGGATTCCATCATGGTGAGTGTTTTCGTTCATCAAACAAATACACCACTCCCATCTCAAGATGCTCCGTACGCCTCACCCAAACAAAACATTTCGGAAAAAACATTATACGCACTCAGTTCGGCGGTAGGCAATCCATCAGGGATACGCCAAACACGGCCCCAAGTCTATCCGCCACGGTCAAGCATCAACGATCAACGGATCAACAGCCGGCTGTTCGCTGCACGATCAAGTCACATGCATGTCCATACGACCTGACGGTGGTGTCACTCACGCGACAGATGGCCCTCCAGCTCGGTTCGTACCAGTTGCACGACATCGCCAAGGCCTTCAGCTGAGTATTTCAACATGGGATAACAGTTTCGTTGTGTCAAGTGAGCACTCCTATTGTAGAACGAAAAAGACAAAACATAATCCACTGGAATATCACAAAAGCGGCAGACGTTCCATCATGGTGAGTGGTTTTAGTTCATCAAACAAATTACCCGCCTCCATCGTACGGAGCCCCGTACTCATGGCCGACATGTACGTTTGACGATTGGATAAATGATTCGGTGTAAGGCGGCAAGCCAGGCACCAGGGTTGTGCCAAACATAGAGCTGTCCACTACTGCTAAGCACTACAACGATCAAGAGCGCCGGCTGTTGCTGCCCGGTAAAACCAACAGTTGGTCCGTTCGATCTGATGCAAATATCGCTTACCCGAGAGGTGGCCCTCCAGCTGAGCTCGTAACCATTGCAGCACGTCGTCAAGGTCATCAGCTGCGTAATTCAACACGGGAGGATAGTCGTTGTGAGGGTAACCTGCTTCGATTGTAGAACTCGATGACCAAAACCAGATTCAAGAGGAAGTTCACCCAAGAAGGCATGATCCGATCACGCTGCTTTCCGTTCAACAAACAAGATATCAATCGCATCCCACGGAGCCCAGCGCCTGACCGACATATTATAGATACGGCGAAAGAAGGCACAGTCAGGTGGCGAGCAAGGTACTAGGGAGCACCCCAATATGCAGGCGAGTCTGTCCAACATTGGCGAACATTTACGATCAACAGCGGTCTGCTGGGACCTTCTGCAAGGAACCTCATGTCCGAATAGTTTGCTGCAATTGTCACTCACCCGATAGTTGGCCTACCATGTTGGAGTGTACCAGTTCCACCAGGCCGTAGGCAAGGCCTCCAGCTGAGTATTTCAGCATGAGAACATAATTTTGCTGTGTAAATGAGCTTCTTCGACTGTGGAACTTGGGAAATACCGGATTTGACAACAAACTCACTGAAGGCATCCATTCCAACATGGTTACTTTTCATTTATCAAACAAATAAACAACTCCCATTGTAAGATGCTCCGTACGTCTGGCCGTGACAAAACATTTCGGCAAAAACAGTACGCACTCACTTCGGTTTCAGGGAATGCATCAGGGTTACGCCAAATGCGGCACCGAGTCTGTCTACGACGGTCAAGCATCAACGATCAACAGATAAACAACTCGACAACCGGTTGTTCGCTGCATGATCAAGTCAACTGAACGTCCATATACCGTCTGATGCTGGTGTCACTCACCCGAAAGTTGGCGCTCCAACTGGACTCGTACTCGTTGCACGAGGTTGCCAAGGTCTTCAGCTGAGTATTTCAATATGAGACAACATTTCGTTGTGTCAGTGAGATGCTTTGATTGCAGAACTTGAGCATTGATCAGATTCCAAGAGGAAATTCGCACAGGAGGCATACACCGTAGACGACACAATATAACACACCCACATAAGAAACTTTACCCCCCACAGAATGAGACACCCCGGAGATAATTTTGATTTTGGACGTTTCTGACGAATCATCGATTTAGCCCCCGGGCTACATAAGATATTACACCCCTTGAGTTCGCGCCTCATACATTCACGGGGCCCCTCCGTCTATCACCGGGGTGATATAGGATCTCAGGATCTGCCGCTTGGGCATCGCACGCACACACAACATCTGCGTGCGGGGAAACACCCCGAGACCTCCAACAACATGAACGTGCAGGGAGGCAGAATGTCGCCGCAAGTACCTCCGCTTCTTCCACAACTGTTTCGACTGCAGCAGTACAAGCACCACAGATCGCGTCGTTTTTTCAGCGCCGGTGAGCACATTTCTTCTACGCAAGCGGCTCCTGCCACGGCTCGTCCTCCTGATGCTGCTGATCTAACAGCAGCAGTAGCTGGCACAGCAACAAGCGCCAACATGACAGCCACCGCATCGCCTCACCAGCAGCAGCCACACCCCTTCAAGTGTGCGGCAGCAGCAGCGGTTCAACTCTACAACCAGTGTCATCACACCCCCATTTTATCACACCCCCACAATATCACACCCCCACAATATCACACCCCCAAAGGCACCCTGTGGGTGTTGGGACGTGCTACAACACCCCCTGGTTTATCGCACACCCTTAGGGGCCCCTGCGAGCTGCACTTTATCACCCGGGCTACATAATATACCCACCCCCCACAGGATACCACACCCGGTGATAACATTTTTAAAGCCCAAAATATAATCACCGCCGTGTGTTATCTTGTGTCGTCTACGGTATTCCAACCTGGTGAGTGTTTTTCGTTCATCGTACAAATAAACCCACCCCATACGCGTAAAGGGGATAATCGCACCACGTTGTGTTAATATGGTAAAGCACCCTCGAGGCAGTTACACAATGCGTATAACCGTCTCTGGAAGTGAAAGCCCCAGAAAATAAATTAAGTCATACGCAGCTGTCATCCGTACGCAAGGAAGTAAGCACAAGATGCCGAACACCCTTAGCAGGATGCAGCTAACCCTTCATGCGGCTCGCCGAATACCTCACGGTGCTTCGCGCTTGGTGATGTGAGAGCCTGGTCCGGTGAGAACCCGGCGTGCTCCGTCTCGGCTTTGTAGGGATGCGAGGTCAATGGTCTAACGACTACGTCATGCACGACTATGAGTACACCCCCCCATCCTACGATGCCCCGAACGATGTCCCGTACGCCCGACCGAAACAAAATATTTCGGCAAAATTGTACGCACTCAGCTTGGCGGTAGGGGAGGTATCAGGGTTACGCCAAATACGGTACCCTGGTGTCACTCACCCGAGAGTTGGCCCTGCAGATTGGTTCGTACCAGTTGCACGAGGTCGCCTAGACCTTCAGCTGTGTGTGTTAATAAGGGACAACAGTTTCGTTGTGTCAAGTGACCTGCTTCGATTGCAGAACCCGGGGATAATCGGACTCAAGATGCAATTCACTTCGGGGGCATACATTCCAACACAGCAATGCGTGCGTTTCGTCCATCAAGCGAATAAACCATCCCTGTCCATCGCGCTTTGGTCTATTAGTTCGTATTCCCGTAAACCTTCTGGCGGCCAGGTCATGGGTCCGAATCTCGGCGTGAGCGAGCTTTTTTCTTGCAACGTGACATTTTTCTCTCAGTCTCGTGTTTGGCAGGGGAGTATCGCTACGTCGTGAGTACACATTGAGGGAAGATAGCCTGCTGAACTTTTCTCGCGTTAAAAATCGAAGCCAAGCACCGCAGGAGGGTGGGTGGGGGCCTCAAGGGAGGGCCTCGGGGAGAAGAACTTTTCTGTGTGACCACGGATCAGAGCTCTGGCGAGGCGTCCCTGCGGCCGATGGTTAAATCGGCAAAGAAAAACTATCAACTGGCTCGAAACTGCCTGGCCGAAGTATACATTTAACGATTAGATAAGGGATTGGGCGCAAGGCGGATAACAAGGCACCAGGGTTGTGCCAAACATGGCGCCGAGTGTGTCCACCACTGCTGCTAAGCACTGCAACGATCAGCAGAGACGTCCATATCGCATGAGGCAAATATCACTTACCCGAGAGGCGACCCTCCAGTTGATTTCGAGTCTGTACCCATTGAAGCACATCGCAGAGGTCATCAGCTGCGAAATTCGAAATGGGAGAGAGTTTCGTTGTGAGGGTGGCCTGCTTCATTGTAGAATTCGACAGCAGACTTTGTAAAGTGGACTTAATCAAGGAGAAAGAGTTTCCAACAAGGCGCAATGTCTTCACTGATTGGCTAACCCAACCCCATCCTTCGTAACGATTCCTTATAGCCGGAACAAAAAATATTGGAAAAAGATAAGGCACTCTGTCAAATGCGGACAGTTAATGTACCAGGGTTAAGCCAAACACTTGGGCAAAGTTTGTCCCCTACACCTAAGCGTTGACCACCAACACCCAACTGATGCTGCCTTAAAAATCAACTGCACGTCCAAATTTACTACAAGTCTTCAGGTACAGGTGTACTCACCCGAGAGTTGACCCTCCAAACGAGTTTGTGCCAGCTGCACCAGGTCTTCGAATTTTGATTTTTCATCTGCGTATTTCAATATGGGAGAACAATTTCGTTGTGAGGGTCACATGCTGCGAAAAAAAACTCGAGAATGAATCGAATTTAAACGAAAAAAATTTACTCAGGACGCAAAGAACCGATCATCCGATCATGCTGCTTCCCGTTCGACAAGTAAGACACCAATCCGTACTTCGCAGCCCTGAACGCCTGGCCGAAACGAACGTTCAAAGTGAAAGAGAGGGCGCTCGGAATAAGGCGGAAAGTCAGGCACCAACGTCAAAACACTATTGGCGCCCGATCCCTCCACTACAGCTGAACAACAACGATCAACAGCCGGTTGTTTTTGCGTGATAAAAACCAACTGCACGTCCGTATCATTTGATGTAGGTATCACTCACCCCAGTCATTGTCCTCCGGCGGTGGATTTTGTACCGAGTGCGCCAGCAACTCAAGGTCATCAGCTGGTATTTCAACATGGGACAGCATTTTCGTGGCGATGAGCTGCTTCGATTGTAGAGCTCGACGACAAAACGGATTCAACTGGAAACTCATCGATGATTCCAACATGGCGTTTTCGTTCGTGAACCAAGACACAAATTGCATCCAACGTTGTTCTGCACGCTTCACCGAAATGTGAACCATCGGACGAAAGATCAGGCACTCGCTTCAAGATTTAAGGCGAGTCCCTCTGCTACAGTTTTTAGCAATCACGATCAACATTGTTGATTGTTGACTTTTCGATGTCTGATCAAACAAACTGCGTGTCCGTACCATTTGATGCAGGTGTCACTCACCCGAATGTTGGCCCACCAGTGTGGTTTGTACCAGTCGCATCAGGTCATCAAGCCCTTCATCAGCTGAGCATTTCAACACCGGAGGACATTTTCGTGCAGGGCGAGTGGGCTGCTTTGACTGCAAAGAACTCGACGACAAAGCGGATTTAGCTGGAAAATCAACGATGAGGCAGACACCCGAACATGGTGTTCCCTCGTTCATCCAGTATTAACCGACCCCATCCTGCGGACAGAGGAACCTAAGGAAAGAACCAAGGATAAGGAGGGTCTAGAAGTGTACGGAATGTTGAACGGGGAATAGGGTTCAAGGAGTACCGACATGGACCAATGGATGCAGGGACAAAGCGAAGGTCAAATTCAGGACCGGGGACATTGACCTTCGAGAACGCAGACGGAGATTTCGGAAGGTACAGTAGACAATGAAGACGACAAGTTCATATGCGATTGCAACGCCGAGTGAGAAGACCGGGTTCATGTACAAGAAGGAGAGGGAAGTGTACATGACTGAGCTAGGAAAAATAGAAGGAAGATAGAGGGAGAGGGAGATGTTTGAGGCTAGCGAGGAGAAGACAATAGTCGCACTGGGGCATAGGAAGTGTGTTGAAAAGGCGGGAAGTGATATCGATAGGATAGATAGACTAGGGAAGACAATTTTGAGCCACCTTTGACAAAATAGGAAGGAATGATTGGCCATCGGTGATCGGTCCTGTGGGAACAATGCTCCCTTCTCTCGAGGACGCGTGGTCAATGGTCTAACTCCTAAGGAATGCAAAACACAAGAGTACACTCCTCCCATCGTACGGACGGTAACCCTGACGTCGCCTGACCAAATTGCGGTAAGTCAGGCACCATGAAAACGCCAAACATGGGGCCGAGCACGCCCGCCACCGCAGAGAAGGAAGAACAAACGGCCGGCTGCTGTCTGCTGAAAAACTCAGCTGCGACTTCGAACCGTCTAAACCAGCTGTGACTCACCCCAGACGTGGTCTTCCAGTTGAGTCCGTAGCAGTTCCACCAGGTTCCCCAGGTCATCGGCTGCGTATATCAACATGAAGGAGTTCAAACCGGATTCAATTGGAACTCGTCGAGAGGGCAGCGATCCGATCATGCTTTTCGTTCATCACATTGATGAAAACTATCCCATCCTGTTCGCCCTAAATGCCTGATCGAAACCAAAACCTTTCGAAGGAAAGAGTAGGCACTCGAAATATGGCGGCAAGTGAGGCATCATGGTTGCGCTGAACATGCGGCCGAGTCTTTACATTTTTTCATGTGAAGCTAACGATCACACAACAGCTGGCTACTGATGCCTGATGAAACCAATTGCACGTTCGCACCGTTTGATGCAGGTGTCACTCACCGGACAATCGGGGCTCCACTTGAGTTCGAACCAGCTGCAACAGGTTGCCGAGGTGTTTATCAGCTGGGCATTTCAACACATGGGGAAAGCATTTCCGTTGTGTGAGTGAGATTCTTCGGTTGTAGAACTTGACGACACAAGACGGGATGAAATGGGATTCAACGGAGGAGGTAGGGATCCGAACGTGGTGAGTTCGTGCATGAAACAAGCAAACGACCCCATCCTTTGCGTAGCCCTGTACGCCTGACCGAAATCAAACGTGCTGCAAAGCAGGCATATGAAATATGGCGGCAAGCAAGGCACCCGGGTTGTACCCATTAGAGGACCGGCTGCGCACCACTGCTACAGCAAGCAATATTCAATTATCAACAGCCGGTTGTTGGTGCGTGACAAAATCAGCTGCACGCCCGTACCATGTTATGCGCAATTCACATACCCGAGAGTTGGCCTCCGAGTTTGGCTCGTTCCTGTCGAAGCAAACCGGCAAGAATCTTGAGAAGGGTGTTCAACACGTCAATCCGGTTTTCTCGATCTTCATCACCTGCGTATATTCAACATGGAAAAATGTTTCGGTCTTCTTCGTTGTAGGAGTGAGCTCCTCGATTGTAACGCTCGACATAGACCGGATCGCACTGGATGAGCGTGTTGGGCATTTCTTCTACCGGGTTATCAGGCCTTGCAAGAACACAAGCATCTCTTTCATTGTAGTCTTTATACAGGCAGCCTGGGCATTCTCTTGGGCAACTTCCACCAAATTGAAACCATAAACAAGCCAGTTGTCCCCACCCCCGCCCTGGCGCCTCTGGGATTCCGAAGAAACTCCGCGCGCAGAGCTCGTCAAAATTTCCGAGGTTCGAAGGGACACCGCACACCGAACGGTGATAATTCCTGTGATCTACGTAGCTGTCTCCAAGAACCCTCAAATACAAATGGTTCTACGTTGCTGATGCCTTGTAGGCGTTACGGTCTGTCGATCACCGATCGAACTCACCCGCGGATTCGCTGGAAGGAGGTGGCCGAGGAAAAAACTTGTCCCCATGCGTGCCCACGAGAGCGACAACCGCGCCAGGGACGCGTTCGTGTAGAATAACGAGCCACCGGTAAATGGCTCCGCGAGGGTCTGGGATCCCGGCCGACTTCTCGTCCCTTCCGAGCTCGAAGAGGTCCACCACCAAGAGGAACAAGGCACCTTCGGTCAGAAAGATTTGGTGGGAAGCGTGGTAGTCTGATTGCCCTGAAAAGTCCCACAAGCTCACTGCCAGAGGCAGGTTTTTATTTGGTTTCCATTCGGAGAGCTCGACGCCAATTGTACGCTTGTCGGCTGGATCGCCGCCGGTGAAATGGCGCACGATGGTAGTCTTGCCGGCTTCCGCAAGTCCCACCAATACCATCTTGAGCTTGCTCGATGTCCCTTCACCAAAGCGAGCGATGCCATCCCACCATCTCCCAGCACTCACGAGACCCCGTGCTAGAAACGCTCGTGGCGGCCGTACCCAAGGGTTGCCGTTCACGCTCACACCCACTTTGCGATTGTCGTCTTGAACCGCCAACGCCCATTTGGCCGTCAAGTCCATAGGTAGCACTGCGGTCGACGAATAAAAACGGTCAACAGCACCGGAAGCCGACCTGGGAATCAGCCCAAGATACTTTATTGTGACCTCAGACGACCCCCCGAAAAATGTCCTCCTGACGGGACATTACCGTATCACACAACTCAGGTATAGTACCGGCGGACTGTATCGTCACCGCATTTATCGAAAACGGACAACTCTGTGATTTCGCGATCGTGCGCGATATCCGCTTACAGTTGTGCACAGCCAAGACTCGACTCACGCAGCACGATTTTGGTCAACTTTGGAGGAATGTTGGCCGACTCTTCAACGTGTGATACTCACCACTCAGTTCATTGTTGGTCAAGTCTACGTCAAAAAGTCTCTCCAGACGAACCAGAGCTGACGGCACGGTTCCTGGCCGTTGTGAAAACGCGCAAGAACGAGCAAAAACGACATGTTTCAGCTCAGTACGGGGTGCTCGCCATTCACGGCAATGGTATCGCATGATGCATATGGAGGACGACTACTCTCGTTCTCCACACGAGAAAAGTTTGCCTCTGATTCTTCGATCGTCTGGTGCAACAGCTGCAGTACGCCAAGCCACCGACCACTTAGCCCATTGCTGCCCAATCTCAGCACTCCAAGGTCTCGAAGGTTGGAGAGGTCCTGCGGGATGTTTCCTGCGGAACGGAGTTAAAAAAACAGACAAAAAGGTACTTAGCACGGTATTAGGATAGAAAGTTCGCAGGGGGTGGAAAACGCAAATCATGAAGAGCATAGGCCGCCTTAGAAACACACAGAAGCAGTTTTCGATTCGGCGTTAACCTGCAGCACGTCTCATAAATCACAGGTACTCCGTACCGTTGCTTTCACGGTGGCACAAGGTAGCATAATCGAGAGCACAACCTTCCTCACGGTGACGCTTGAAAGTATGTCTCAGTTCTCTTTGCTTCGTCCTGGTAACATATTCGGCCAAAACAACGCACCTGTAAGTTGGTTGTTGCTGAGGTCGATCTTCCACAGCACTCTGGAGTACAGTTCGTCGCCACAGCTCCCTCCTATGCAAGAACAAAGGTCGCAAACGGAGTGTTGTAAGGGTAGATGAACCGGCCATGGCGACTCAACTTCGATCGGCTATTGTAACCCCAAAAATATTTCCGAGAGATCTAACCAAGAGTGGACAGAGTGCGTTCTTTATCTCACTAAATAAATCCTGGTCTAAGTTGGAAGCGACGCGCGGCAAAGCTCGTTGTTAGTAAACTAGATCGACTTCATAAGTCGCGAGGGAAGGGATTGCTGTTTTCGCGATAAAAATATCTCAGGCAGGAACCGCAGGAGGGGGTCCAACCCCCCCCTCCTATGTGACCTCGGTTGGGTAGTCTAGCTAGTAGAAGTGGAGGATGGGGGCCAGAGGGGCAGACGACAGAGTCCAATGATGGGAGGAAAAAAAAAGAGCGTCAATGAGTGAGCAGCAAAATGTTGTACGGTACGTACAATCCGAGCGAGAGGTCGTTCCCTCGGTCAGCAACGCACCGGGCGGCGAGGTCAGCAGAAACAAAACCGTCCAAAACACGGAAACAAACCCACCCGCAACACTGAAATGCAGCGTAAATCTTCTCGCTTGTAAGATGTGACCGCCTCCACCACCCGCGATGAAAGACAGCCGGTAACGGTCGCCGGCGCATGCCAACCGTCTCAGGGGGTCCTTCGGATCAATCTCCATCACTTCATGTGTCCATTTATGCTCGGCTGGATCTGGCATAAGCTGCCGGTGCTCCTTCGGTTCTTGGGTTGAACACTGTTGGTCCGTGGATCCCGGGTCCAAGCTCAGGAATAGCGTCCCTTTCCGATTGCCCCATCCTTGATCTCTCCACAAGAAGGACACGTACCGGAGCTCGTGTAAAGGTTCCAATGGCTCCGAACTCCAGTGGTCCCGCTCGTCCTCGGGATCGCTGCCGATCCCTTCGGCGTACAGATCAGGTACGAAGGTTTGATGGCCACTTCTGTTCCCGGCGTCTAGGGAAACAAACGCGAGTGTGGGGCGGGAAAACATTCGGGCGGCTCTCGCTTTGGCTCTGACGTTATTCGAGCAAATTGAAAAAAGCATCAACGGCGTCGACCACGTCCTTCTGCCATACCAGTTCGAATTTTCGTTTGCCGTAAGCCCCAACACTTGCCGGGCAACACTTGCCGGTTTTTGCTGCCACCTTCTGTCCCGAAATTTCGAACGTCCCTTTCCGACTTCCTCTGACGACGCCACCCAATTGCTGACTGAAAGCTCTTTTCAATGTGATCATATTTTGGGGGGAGAGGCATTTGAAAAGGTCTCTTAAATTATGGGCTGAAGCTTTCATCAGCACACCCTGCTTGCTGTTTCTCTCTTGACGTTATCTCAACGCCGATCCTTGATTGTCTCTTTGTCGTTATCTTCCCGTCGTCCACAATCTCAAATATACCCAAACTCCTGTTATTGTCTTTGAAAGAATACAGTCAACATCAAAGAAGGAACTACGCCATGAGACAGGACTCCCGATTCCCCCCTGGGTTTCCTCACGGAGAACGGTCACTTTAAAACCGGCCGAGTACAAAATTGCCTTTATCATGGCCTCTCCTCAGAAACCGGCTGCTGCACGTGAGGTATTGGGTGCTGCCCAGCTGTTTGCTGCAGTACATGGTAAGGTTCCGGTGGGTTAGAGCGGCAAGCGTGCCTTGCTTCTTCACTCCGCCCTCCTCTACTTTGTTTTCTGTCGCTGTCTGTCTCTCTTGTTTCTCGCCCTTCGTTCTTGTTTGAGCAAAATAACTGACTGTCTGACTGTGTCTTGGGGTCCCCCACCCACCCACAACCACCTGATGGTTCGTGGTCTCCAATATTTACAGTACGGTATGTAGTGGTCTACTACAGAACATGCGGTACGCGTCCATGAGTGCAACAGCAGAAGAGCTAGATACTGGTGGCCTTCTGACCTGATCATGCAGAGAGAGGCTATTGCCACCACAAGACGACTCTATGCCATGCCCATGACGGGGAACGCGTACGTTCTACGCCTGTGCTCATTTCCTCTCCCATCCGGCTATTTTGTTTCGGAGACGAAACCTATCCTGACAATCATCTTCTGGGGTCCGCATTTATTTAGTCTCGGTTTCTTTTCGAGCGTGAGGAGATCGATGGTCTCCACCGTTCGGGTGTGATCGTGCGCATCAACGAGCATGACTAGCGAGATTGTTGACAGCATGGAGTCCCTCGCCACAAAACGTGCATACGCATCGATGGGCGTTGTGAGAATGCCCTCTTCTTTCTCTTCGCTCAGCGCCGGTCGAAGACTGATGATGTTGTTCTTTTCGGGTGCGCGTGAGGTCGTCCCAATAACTTCGTCGTGCGGAAGGCAGAAAGCAGTGTATCCGGACCGCATGTCAATTGCCGCGGTCGCTGCCCCTGGTCTTCTTGCTACAGTACATCGTTCGGTGGTGTCATTTCACTTACCTTTTTGCATGTCGGCCGCCCCGTCTACGCGGCTACACACGTCTACATCAAACGTTGACGTTGATATTCAAGCTGACTTTGTGCAACCGCCCGTCCGGCTGTAGCGTCTAATATTGCGATCCCAGGACAATCTCCGTGCCCCTACTGCGCCGAGAACAACGCATTGCATACGTGCCAATGGAACTTGCTTCTTTGAACTGGAGTCACGGCGCCGGGCAGATTGTTTCTCAGTCTTCGCAAGTCTTCCAGGGGTTTGAAGACCACCCCATGTAAACGTCATTGACTTCAACTTTGGGGGCGGAATTCTCGCTGGTAAGTGTTTCGAATCACCTTCTTCCTCTTGGCGGCGGGTCCCGCATCCACTTCGTCACGCAGATGCGCTCGAGGGATCGGTGGCACAAATAAATTTGCCTCCATGGTGGCCTTACAACCTCTTCTCACGACTTTGACCCTACCTGGTATTAAGCCCACCAGTACATGATACTGTAGTATCCACGCGGACGTCGCTATGTGCGTATAAACCCAACGATCGGGATATGAGCCCATCACGAGGACCACCAAAACCTACTCAACAACGGAGCCATTCAGCCTATCCGGTGAAGCCTGTCCCCAAACGACCGACGCAGTTCAGGTCCTGTCAGCCGATCGGAGAGAACTGCTTGAGGCCATTTTTCATGTGATTTCTGTGTTTTTCATCTCGTTTTTTTGTATATTGTCGTGTTCGAGAGTGTTCCCGTACGCAGTTGCGGCTTCCCGTAAAAAAAAAGGAAGGGTTCAAACAGACAACACCGACGAAACTCATCGAGTTGCACATCAATCTGAAGACACTTTTATCGCAGCCAGCCGCCGTCAAGGAAGTGGTGCAAAATTTTGTACTGTTTAATACCCTCGCTATGTAGGTAAGGTAGGACCATAGCAGTATAGTCTCTCTTCTTCGCGCGCACTATCTCTCTTCTGGTGCCATGGACTCACCGCCACACACAATTCGTCGTGTGACTCGCTTCACTCAGCATGGCGGCAAAAGCCGCAACAACCCTTGTACTTCGTATTGCTTTTGTGCACGCCTCGTCAGCCAACGCAAGTCGCATATCAGTTGTCAGGATGGCACGACAACAGTGATCCAGGTGTCGCTCGGAGCCCTTGACGAGCGCGCTAAGATCAGTACCTCCTGCGCGATCGATGAGTTTGTCCGTCGACGCACTCGCGATCACGAAAGAAAATCAATCGGCTCATCTGATCGGAAATCATCTACCGCGTCTATTTTCGGTCAAGTTTACCCTCTCGTGACGGAAATAGAAAACTACTGATTGGAAAACGCCGACGTCCGACCGCTAAAGCAACGGTTCCGGGCTCGAAATCGATAATACAGATTTTCGATCGCTGGTCTATCGCATAAGAAATGGCCTATTAGGGTTTTTTGCTTGAGCGTGCGAAAAAAAAATGCGAAAAAACAAAGGTCCAAAGTTGTTCTTCTGTTGGGGGCAGTCCCAACTGATGTCGAACACCCCTGTGTCCTCATCGAACGACTTTGATTTCCCTGATGGACAACAGTGCGTCCAACGAAACACCAAGTGTCGAAATAAACTAGCCTTGAGCGTGTAGCCTGTCGCAGACTAGTAGATTCGGCGGTTCTCACCCGTAAAGTTCTCCTCCACATTGGTCCTGATGCTTACTCCTAGCTGTCCAAGCCGATCGGGAATGTGACCTAGAGGGCGCGTGCGAGAATGTCGAGAGTTTCGTGTGTGCCAAATATTTCTCTAAAAGGGATTGTCACTGGCTACAACCCGATGAGCTGTACCACACATACTTTGGTATCTTTAAATACGATGTGTGGTGCCACAACCATGCATTTCAGCTACCTAGACAGATCAACAGCAGGACAGGATACCCGCACTGAGCCTGTAGCGCCGGGCGGACTCACCGCTAAGTTCGTTCGAACCGAGGTCAAGAACCTCAAGCGACTCCATCTCCCCCAGCTCCGGTGGAATAGAGCCTGTGAGAGGTTAAAGGGAAAGTAACAGGTGCCCCGGCCTCGTCTAAATCCCAATGTTTTGTATTGCAATCGAGTCGTCTGCCTGCGTTGCTGCGGTGGTACATGTAGCAACCACATTAATCAGACAGGGAAGAATGGCTAGGCATACAGCACCTCCGCATGTTCATACATCACAAGCTGTTGTCTGTGGCAAAGACGAAAGAACCGAGTGAGCGATCGATCAACTTGGAGCAATGCAAGACAACATAGTGCTCGTTACAAGCTGGTTCAGGATGAATGCCCAACACTTATTGCACAAGATATTTTCACGCCGTTTATTACGGGTTCGACCATGAAACTTTGCACACATACATGCTACAACGGTGAGATATCAGGGTAACCCGCCCCCCGCCCCCCGCCCCCCGGCTCAGTACTATTCAGTATGGCTAGACCATCACTATTCAGTGAGCTCACTGAGGAGTCTAATAAATATACAGGTGGAAGTGATCTCCGGGGTGGACCCCTCGCCAGTCTCACAGTAGTTCTGTAAATGGTGCATGTTTAGCATAAAAGTATGCTGGGATTCGAACCCGCGTCGGTATTTATTCTCAGTAATGCTTAGACTACTCAAATCAGCTGACTATTAGGCTACTTGTACAGTCAATGTTGACTGTTCAAGTAGTCTAGCGGTACGTCAACCGGGACTCCGGATACTTGGCCACTAAAAAATTATTCGACCCGTTCTCATCGACTTTCGATATGACCGGTATACATGTGAGTGAGCGAAATTTCATGGCTTCACTCGAAAAAACCGCGCGAGAAAACGGAGATATATGTACGGAGAGGTGCAATTTCATCTGCCTATCCCCTACAAGTTGAAGCACAAAAGCTTTTACCCACAAATCTTTCTCATTTTTCAGAGTTGGGAAACGAAACTTTGTAACGAGTGCCTATTGGACTGTCCTCCCGAAGGTAATATTTGAAAATTCAATATTCGGGAATATTGTACCGGCTTCTGGGGGCCTTACCCCGGAGACCGGTCAGTAATGGAAAAACTTGAAAACAATCTCACGAAATGTTTTGTCCAAGTTTGAGGGTGATCTGATGTTCCCTTCGATGTGTACAAGGGAAACAAATGTTAGGCTCTCCTGGTTTTTGCCTCATATTTTGCCCCATACACTTTGAGCAGAAATCTGACGACGCCATATCACCACATCATCATCACCCGCTTGGGCGTAACTCGTCCCCACCGTGTCCGTTTTCGATTCCGTTTCTTTCATGTGTCCCCTACCGTGTGAGAGGGGTTAACACTGTCTTGATTTTGATTTTTCATTCTGGAAAAGTTTTTAGGCCTCTGATTGGCCAAAGCACATTTTCGCCTCAAGGTCACTGCAAATACCTGAACGGAAACCGGACCATGTCACCCTCTTCGACTTTCCATAGGGGTCACGAAGATACATTGAAAAATTTGAATAAGGATTGCTCTCGATCTTCGTGGTGCACAAAATGTTGGGCGATCATCCTGAACCTGCTTGGAGCAGGTGGAGTTTCGGCTCATTGGATGAATAAATCGCATGTCGTGACTGTCACACAAAAACAGTGGCACCAATGGTCTACGTGGATGACATCAAAATTATTTCTACGCTCATTGCGAGTTTTTTTGAACGGCGCGTATACGCCGCGAGCTCAAGGTACCCACAAGTCACAACTGAAAAATAATCACCAATGCTGTTCACCTCACCTTTTGACGTTCTCGTTTCCAAAGCTGACCAAAGTAGTTGGGGTTGTGCCCCCCCGGGCTTTGCTTAACACCCAACAAGGGCATGAACAACAATAATAGAGTAAACTGGCAGTAAAATAGGGCACCCAACCATCTGGCACCACGCGACCTCCCTGGGGCTGTGGCCTACTTTTGCTGTCAAGGCTTCGATGCAAATAAATGCAATAGCATCATTTGTTCCCAAAGGCGATACTGCGTCCTCTCCTCAAAAGGTGAGCTGTGCGCTTCACTAGACCCCGAGCAAGCAGAGAAGCAACAGTATTCTGCTCCAATTGTCTGAACATTACAGGATGCCTTGTTTAGTTTGATGGAGCAGACCGACTCACCGAGCAAACCGACTCACCGGTCAGGGTGTTGTCGCTGAGAATAAGAGTCTTCAACAGCTTGAGCTTCCCCAGAATAGCCGGAATATCGCCTGCGCAAACCCATTGAGGTGGTCATACATTCCATATACCCCCCCAAAAAAACAGATATGACGCGATTAGTGGTTCAGGTTGGGTTGGTAAAATAAAACAAAAAACTTACCATGCGCGTGTCTTTCGAATCTGCCAGTACCCCACCGCAAAAACAGAGGCTCGAGTTGGGGGAGTAGAGCGAAAATAGAAGCAAACGCCAAGCAACGAATCAGCGACTAGACCCGACAGTACCAGGAGAGAGTAAATCGCTAGCGCGGGGGTTGTGAATTTACAGAGAGAAGAAAAGAAAGGATACAGACACGAGCGGGCACATCTAGTTCGGTGCATTCTCGGCACGCTCGCACCCGATACTTGGATTGTGCGTGCGCATGAGCTACCGCCCCCACGAGCGCATGGCTGTCCCTGTTTCGGAGCACGTCCCACCAAAATATGCATGCGAGAGGCCTCGGCGCAATCGACGAGTGAGGCTTGTTTCATGCAATTTTCCACGACGATCGACGGCTTCACGAGAAAGGTCTTTGAGGACACCGCGCCACGAGCTCGCATGCGTAGCTTCCCTTAGCTCAGAGAAATCGGCGAGGGTCAAGAAAACGGCGTCACTAAAACCAGCCTCACATTTATCAAGTGAAATTTTCCAATTGCCTAACAGAAAAACTTCAAGGGCACCCAGGTGGAACACATGGTGCGGAAGAAATGGAGGCATGGATTCTAGAAGGCAGGGGGAATGTCTTGTCAGTTCCCCGCCAAATTCATTTTTCTCGTTGGTTGCAGGTCCCATTCTGCCGGAGCTGGGAAAACCCGTAGCATTGCGAATCCTCGTGCTCCAGAGCAACCAAATCAGGTGTGAGTCTTTTCGTCCAAGAGACATTTTATTTGAGCTCTCTTTGAACAAATATTCGCTGGTGGAGTAGGTGTTCTGGAAGGGATTGGCGCAAAATGTTCCGAGAAGCCGAGAGAATACTTTTAACAACTTCTCGTCGAATTCGTTTTTCTTTTTTGGCTGCCGCCCATCAAAATTCACAACACTAAGGATCCTTTTCCTGGAGAAAACCAGTGGAGCGGTGAGTCACAAAGAACGCGATACTGGTATTCTGAGCTCGAAACGCGCGCGCAAAACCAATTTGACAATCGGAATTTTGGTTGTACAGGTTGCCCGTGTTCCAGGAGCAGGCTGGAAGGCGGAAAATAGATTTGTTGAATAGCTTTACCAGTACAGCAACATCGTGCGCACGCCGTGCTGGTACTGCGTCGACTTTACATACAACGGATATTTAGGCGTCGACCGCGTGCAGAACGAGGGCACGTACCAGGAAGACAACGACGTTGTGGCATCTTGTACAACATGCAAGTCCATGGAAGCATCACTTTCTGTCAACGAATTCTTGGCAAAGGTCAAGCCCATCGAGCAATAAATCACTTCCACAGGGTAGGCCTTGAAATACCTCGGAGGTTGTTGCTGGCCAGATCGAGCTTCACCACGTGGCCGTCGTCCTTTACTTTGACTCCGTGCCAATCACCGATGGGAGCATCCGTGTCCCAGTTGGCGTTGTTCGTCCAGCTAGCTCCACCGGTCGACCGATGCAGGACAAGCAGCACATCACGATCGGTTGAAGCCATGGTAGAGAGCGCCTGTGAGGATTGAAGGAGGGGCGGAGGTTGCGGGGACAAACGAAAATATTATGTCGGCGTTTGGCTAAATCGCTCTCGGTTGGTCGGTGAGTTGGGTGTTTCATGTGATCATGACATGTCTTGCGTGCCTTACCGACAGCTACGATGACGTGCGAACGATGCCACAAAAGCGCTACTTCGCCACCTCTTACGCACCACAAAGGGTGTCCACCTCCGAAAGACTCAAGCGCATATTTAACGCCCACGAGGAAAAAAGGAGCAACAAAGAGCAAGAAAATGCACGAGCCAAAGAAGCCAACTCAGGCACTGTGCTGAACTTCACCGTGGTTCCAGAATGTGTCCTGACGCGTCTCTGTCGCTGGGCACGGCGTTGGAAGGTCTACCGGAATACAGTAGGTATAGCGGCATGAAGGGGCAAGCTAAACACATGCTGCTATTCAGGGCAGTGCCGCTATTCCGCTATAGCCGCAACATTGTCGCTATTGACCCCCCAAAAGCAGAAATAGCGGCAATATTGCCGCTATAGCGGAGAAAAGGTTTTCATGCGCACACTAAATTAAATGACGGCAAGGAGTAGTAGGATCTATTTTCCTGGACTGCATAAACGTGTATGCGTTGTACGTGCGGGGCGTGTGTTGTGCTTGGCCGCATAAAACAAATGGTGTTTCGTGGTTGGGCTTTCATTACGAGACACAGCTAATCTCGGCCCGCTACGTGAAATAGAGGGATACTTGCTCTTCAAGTGATAGCGATGCCATTCTTTTGCCGCACAGCCTAGTCTACAACTACATGATTGACCACACCGCCAAGCAGTAAGTGATGCAAATAAATGTTATCTGGTGGACCATGTAAGATGGGGTTCGGACCAAGGAAAAATCACGTTGACAACAGTGGAGTACATGTACGCGAAACCATGGAGCAACCAATCAGTAAACAAACGTCGAACCCCCCCGTGTATCCGCCCCCTCCGGTGTTTGCCATCGGGGTTGGGTTTTCGTCGCTTGGCAACGACGTTGTAAAACAAGCCCCCCCCTCGCTGTGTCTCGGTGTTTGCCATCGGGGTTGGGCTTTCGTCGATTGGCAACGACGTTGTAAAACAAGCCGCCCCCCCCGTGTTTGCCATCGGGGTCGGGTTTTCGTCGCTTGGCAGCGATGGTGTAAAACAAGCCTATCACTTCGTGAGCTCGGCAACCAGGTTACCGGGGTTTTTTTTTTCCTTTTTTTTTTTGCGGTAACCATGAATGGTGGTCGAGTAGATTCTGTTGTGCGGGGTCGAGAACCCTGACTCTGCGCAAGGGGGGTAATCGCACCACGTTGTGTTAAAAATGGTCAAGCATCCTCGAGGCAGTTACACAGTGCTTACAACTGTCTCTGAAGTGAAAGCACCAAAAAGTAAATTAAGTCGTACGCAGCTGTCATCCGTACGCAAGGAATTAAGCACAAGATGCCGAACACCCTTAGCAGGATGCAGCGCACCCTTCATGCGACTCGCCGAATACCTCACGGCGCTTCGCGCTTGGTGATGTGAGAGCCTGGCCCGGTGAGAACCCGGCGTGCTCCGTCCCGGCTTTGTAGGGATGCGAGGTCAATGGTCTAACGACTACGGCATGCAGGACTATGAGTACACCCCCCCTCCCCCCCCCCTCCCGGTGTTTGCCATCGGGGTTGGGTTTTCGTCGCTTGGCAGCGATGTTGTAAAACAAGCCAATTCACTTCGTGAGCTCGACAACCAGGTTACCGGGGGTTTTTTTACCTCGTTTTTTTTTTTTGCGGTGACCATGAATGGTGGTCGAGTAGATCATGTTGTGCGGGGTCGAGCACCCTCACTCCGCACAAGGGGGATGATCGCACCACGTTGTGTTAAAAATGGTCAAGCATCCTCGAGGCATTTACACAATGCTTACAACTGTCTCTGGAAGTAAAAGCCCCAAAAATTAATTGAGTCAGACGCAGCTGTCATCCGTACGCAAGGAAGTAAGCACAAGATGCCGAACACCCTTAGCAGGATGCAGCGCACCCTTCATGCGACTCGCCGAATACCTCACGGCGCTTCGCGCTTGGTGATGTGAGAGCCTGGCCCGGTGAGAACGCTCCGTCCCGGCTTTGTAGGGATGCGAGGTCAATGGTCTAACGACTACGGCGTGCAGGACTATGAGGACCCCCCCCCCCCCCGGTGTATCAACCCCAACCGTTACACCGACTTTGCAGCCATAGGCGTCTAACGACTAGTTTCACTGTGACTACTATTGTAGGTAAACGTCTAATGTCTAACTGCCGTGACGGTTTAGCGACATTGGTGCCCGTCCTTCTCTCCGAGTGGGCATTTCGGGAGTTTATAATGTTCTAGATCCGTGCATGCTGGCACGATACGTGTGGCGCCCACTGTGTGTGTGTGCGTTTGGGTGCGCGCCGGTGAAATACATGGGGGCTACGATGTTATGTTGGGAATTGCCACTATCGGGGGGGTGAGATACCCCAAAGTGCCGCTGTATCGGCTCAAAATTGGGTCAAGAGATTTTGATACCGCTACAGTATACCAGCAATTTCGCTATTCAGGTTGCCGCTATATCGGGCCTCCTACTGCTGCATCTCCCTTTCTGTCGGCCTTTCTTTGCGTTCGAACACAAGAAGCCAAGAAGTTGCTTGAGGTCAGGTACCGGCCACTATTTTGTGTATAGCATAACGGTGTACGCCGCAAATGACCTACCTCACTAGAACGGGGGAGCGATGTCATCAAGCCCTGCACCTTGGTCACACACTGCAAGAGCCGAAGGCGCTGATAAAGAACAACTCCGGGTATAGACTACTTTCGTTTCGCTCCAAAATATTCCGACAACGAGTCAGTCGCCGGCGATGCCACTGCACTTTTTATTTGTTTTCCACCAACCCTCTTTGTTGGCTCTTTTAGAAAGAGGAAAATGCTTAAAATATGGGGGGATCATGCAATGTTTTGGGTAACTTGGTGCAAGGTTAGTTGGTTACCGGTAGAAAAGCGATCAGCGCGGGTAAAATAAACAAGTTTGCCATATTTTCGCCGCCTTCTGCCGGACTGGTGCCCCCTCTGCTGCATCGCAATCGCCGACACCGCCATCAAAACTGAACTTGGCGCACTCGTAAAGGGTTCTTGAGCATCCCAGGGCAAGATTTCACCACGGGCGCTCGTGGTAGCCAAAGACGAGCCAGGTGCTCAACAAACAAACATGTTTTGTCTTGGTTTGTCTCAAGACATGCGCAAAGAAGCTCTCCATCATTCATTATGCATACAGCAGTCTTTTTTTTTTTCAGCAGAACCAAGTTTTGGTTGTTGTAGAAAGAACCATATGACCGACATGGACCATATCCACACGTGGGCGCCGTGGCATCCGCCTACCCACCCTGCCCCGCTTTGAGGCTCGCAACTGTCAGAGAAGGGGCATGAGGGGATCATGGCATGTTTTCCCGTGCAATTTGTGGCAAGGTTGGGTGTTTACCGGCAGAAAAGTGATCAGCTCGGGTGACAGCAACCGTTCTGCAAAACAATTCAACTCCTGGTGGCGGCCTGGTGCCTGTTCTGTTGCATCGCCATCGCCGACTCCGCCACGAAAAAAGGACGTGGCACGCTCGTAAAAGAGCCTAGGTGCATAACTAGGTGCATAACGTTTCGCCACGGGTGCCCATGGCAGCGAAAGATGAGTCAGGCACTCATTAAAAACCATGTTCTCTGTCATGGTCTTTTCCGGAGGGTACCGAAGATTCCTTCCAAAACAGAAAATCAATCAAAGAGACGTTTACCCCTTGTTTTGGCCCAACAGCAGATGACACCCATGTCGATCCCACACTCGAAAATGAACGTCTGACAGTAAAATCTTCAGGGCTGTTCTCTCAAGCCACTGCTTTCGTCGAGTGGCAAGTGAGTTGGTTTCTACTTGCTGCGAAACAAGCTCACAACAGCTTGAGTCTCTCGCAACATCATGTAGTGTGTTGTTCCTTGCAACACTCACAACGGCCATCCAACGCGATGTATGTGATGATGTACACGTCGCGAGCGACTCTCCCAACTCGTGGCTGGAGCAAGTAAGTCGAAACCAAGTCACTTGCCACTCGATGAAAGCAGTGGCTTTAGAAGACAGCCCTGGACGGTTGAAATGAGCGGAGCGCGCTCTACATATCGGCCTGTTCCACCGCGTGATACAGGGGTCCAAAGTTTGATTTCCGGGAAACCTAAATAACCCTCCTGTAGGACCAGAACGAGGTCTGTAGAGCACCGATTGACGATCTGCTGGCTTGTGAGGAAGGAGAAAAGTAGGGCACTCTTCACCGCACCGCTTTGGTCGTGCTCCGGCAGCAGATGGCCGTGCTTCACTGGCATTTGTACCCAAAAACCTTAGGAGATACTCACCCCCATGCCCGGGAGTTGCCCAGGGAATGGAGGAACAAAACTCGGATATCTCCCACACACGCGCGCGCTAGTTTATCTTTTGATGGGAAAAAATATTACAACAGCATGCGCCGATCTTTTATCCTACCGGAAGTGGCCATTCACATGCCACTCTTGGTGAAGTACGTCGGGAACATCTACGCTCGAACCAAGGCGAAACCTCTGTTCAAAATGGCAGATGGTTCGATCGAGGTTGTTCTTTCACAGCGCGGAGTTCAACAAGGATGCAAGTTGGGAGAGTTCGGCTTCTGTGAAGGATTCCTTGATATCATGAACGTGTTCAACAACAAGCCACCAGTGGCATGAGTCAAACTCGTGGGATACGTCAACGACCTTCAAGCGCATCTCCCACCAGGTTTGGCTAGGAACATACAGGCCATCGTTATTGTGACGAAGTGGATTCAGAAACGCCTCTCCCAAAAAAGGCATTGAGCTCAGTCTCCCGAATTCTAAAGTGCTTTTCCCAGAAGGTTTTTGCCTGTCCTCTTTGACAAACAACGAACAGCGAGAAGTGACGAAAAATTGTCTCTCTCAGTCGCTGAAGGTGGCATGGCAGTAGTCGGAGTCCCAG